GACCTTTAATTACTACATTGTGGTCCATATTATCACGCCTCATATCGGCACATCTACGAAGAAGGCACCAAAATGGCAAAGAGAGAGGGTATTTTACGCTACAGAGCAGTCAAAATAAAACAAGAACGAATCGCACAATAGTGACGTTCCCTATGACAACTAAGATTGAACTGATATGTGGGTGTATCTGAGCCTGTAAGATCGATTCCGAACCATAATCCATAGTCTCCAACCACCAGTTGAAGTTGCTACGTGGACCTCAACCAAGAGGTCTAAATTTTCCAATACACCTCAAACCAACTGTCACAAACTTAATGAACTGATGCTAGGTTTTAAACGAGTCGCCGCTAACCTTTTTCCTGCCTAAGCCTACTTCAGTTAACACTGATCGACGAGGCAGATGGCGATCAGCCGTGTGTAACACTTTTCCCAACCATCTGAGTCGATGATAATTCAAAACCCCAACAACTGACATTCCTTTTCTACCTAAAATGCACTGTCTAACTTCCTTATTACTGACGCAGTTGTCCCACAATATATGGCTTATTTTACGAAGAACATCGTGGTCAAACACCTGAAACCTTCTGATTTCTTTCATCTTTAATGACACTAAGCAAGTTTTCAAAGGTTCTCTAACTTATATCATGATGGAAACATGATGGAAACTACTTCAAAGACAATTGACCCCCACAAACCTAACAGAGATAGACAAATCAACATAGAACTTTGTACAGGAGTGCATTAGTTCAAATTACCATACTTTACAGCAGAATGCAAGGGACAAGTGCATGGAAAAGTGAACGAAAAATATGGAGAAAGACAGAATTCCCATATATGAAAGTTGGTGAAAATGTTCAATCATGTCAATAAGAATCTCCAACCATCGATTCATATTATTTTGAGGACACCAACCACGCAGTCTATGCTTCTCCACATGGTTCCCACCAACAGTCGGTGACTTCATGAACTAATGCCACAGGATGGTATGTCTAGTCTTAGCCGTCTTCTAACCTAACCCCATTTCTGCTAACATTGCACGTCCAGGCAGGCAGTGACTCGGCATGCGCAACACATGTCCAAGCCGTCCAGTCAGTGAAGAATTACTACTTCATCAACTGGCTTGGTTAACTTTTCTACGCTTAACTTCAACACTGCTCACACTGTCATGCCTTACAAACAGCCAATAAGGTAAATTAATCCCCCCCACACCTAGAATAATCTAAATTTACTTAGAGTAGCAATAGTATTTAACATTTCACGAAAGTCTGTATGATAACCAAAAATTTCAAAGATGGTTAATCGTCCACGTCTAAAATCTAATCCATTAATTGTTAACGATTCTCTGTACCTTCAACTTAATCAACGATGTAAGTTTGTTACAGCATAATAGCTGTTCTGAATTTTTACCAAGGTTAATCATCTGATTTCATTATTTAAATAAAAGTATTTATACATTATAAACAAGTATTGTTACAGCTGATATGAAACGAAGACCTCTTCCCCTTATTCACTAGATAAATCCAATGAATTTCATATCATGCCTCGTTTTTGAAATAACTATAAAATTTATCTTGGAATCATTCGCTTAGAGATTTTTTTCCAATTAAAGATGTAAGCTTCTTTGAAAATCTCTAATCGGTTGTCTCTCGTACCATATCTCATAAGCTGGTTTTTCTTCCTATCTAATTTTATTTCCGGTATGTTATTCTGTGTAGCGTCACTGCCGAATATCCAAGTTAACAGTATTCCTTAAGTTTCCTACTTCCTTGGTCCTTAGTAAGTAGCATTTTTTGTGACATAGTACTACTTAGTTATCTTATTTTACAGAACATCACGTCCCATAGTTAAAACTAGTCTAGATCGAATTCTAGTAGTTCAAGATGTTCTCTGAAAATGGAATGCTTATTAGTATGTAGGAATTCATAAAGTGACTGGTTTCAACCTTCAAACTTCACTTCCACACAGCTTATTTTCTGGTGGTGACTGCATGATGTAAAAATGTACATCTTTACTATCAGGTTAACAATTCAAGCCAAAAACTAACTCATTTAGAACGGTTAACTATGCTCTGTCATTGATTAGTGCACAGTTTAATATGCTAACCTTTCGCAACTACTGAGTTAATTTTTTGCTTTATTTATGCTTCTGAAAGAAGAACAAGTATTTCAGCGAAGAGTCTCTCTTCGGCGATTTCACTTTCAAAGCTGTACAATCGCAAATTTACACATTTTTCTAACGTAACGGTTTGTCAAGCATGGTAACACAAATAGTGTCACTAAATGAGTTGTCATTGAAATCAAAAAACCAAAAACTGATGAGTAGTGAGTGGACATTAATCAAAATAAGTTTGGACAAGAAGTTTCGTAACATGACGATATAATTGGAAACCGAATTGTGATCAGGTAGAGCATAGCAGCAAGAATAAGCAGCAAATCACTTAAGAAAAGGATAGTGTCAAAGCAGAAAAATGAAAAAAAGAGCTGGGAGCTTTCAAAGACTGAAAATTAAGACCATGAAAGGAGAAGGGGTTGAATAATCTTATTTTGTGTACACAGTTCAGGTTTCTCCACTTGGATGACAAGAGCTTTGGTGATACAGAGAATACGAAAACATAAAGCCTTTGGAAGGTTTCTTTTCACTTTATAGATGACTTAGAACCAGGAGGTTCTTGAGAAAGCGTGTTCACGATGTGTTCAATTATAGCACTCCTTAGCGCTTCATTGTTACCTCTTTGTAACCACGTGAGGCAGTGCTCTTGACCCTTTTGGATAACAGTCGCATCAAACGATCTATATACTTGGCTCCACAAGAGCAGGTGAATTGATATATACACACAGTGGTCAGATGTGAAAGTTTCTCCTCTGAGTTGTTAGAAATCGTTAGACAGCAAGAGAATACTAGTCTCAGCGTTGATGCGAACAATGTTTTCCTTAGAATGTTTGGTATCCTCCTTTTTAGAGTGTCAGCGGCGGAATCCTCTTTGAAGTCGAGATTCATATAGTGTCTTTTTTGGCATGGTGGTCAGGTTTGCTATGCGAGGTTTAGGCTTGATATTTTTTTCCATGAAGAGTGGTAGGAATCCGTTTTTAATCAGGATTTCCTTCAGAACAGAAATTTTCTCTGCTAACACATCAGGACTGCTGATTCGTCTATTGCGAGTGGCAAGAGATATGATCAGGTTTCATTTACGACTCATAGGGACTCAGCTATTCAAGTTCGTCATTTCATCATTTCACATTGGTTTTCCATGAATTGATCCACTAGACGTTCCATCAGCTGTTCTTGTCAGCTCTATATCAAGAAAGTGAATTTTCGATCGATTTTCGACCTCAAGGGTGGATCTAATTGGTGAATGGCAGTTACTAAATATTTGTAAAACATGATTCAAATCATATTGATGATTATAGATAATCAAAGTACCGTCCATGTACCTTTAGTACAGTTGAAAACTTTCAACCACTGGTTTCAAGGGCCCGTTCTCCAAACTGGCCATAAAGCAGTCTGCTAGTGGTGGACCTAGTGGGGAGTCCCATGGTGATTCCATCTTTTTGTCTATAAATCACGTCAGTAAATGTGAAGTGAACATTAAATGTGCATCTTAGTAACAATTCCTTAAGGCTCTTCTATAGATATTGCGTAGATTTTTCATTTCATAGATCTGACGTAAGATAAATCCAGTCAAAATATGAAAGGCATTGCAAAGGGATATTAGGAAGTAATACCGAATGAACAGTAAGGCGAACTCCACTTATTTTCAGTCTAAAACATTAGCCATTGCATCAAACACAACACAAACTAGACGAAAGAAATCAACCTGGAAGCTATGGAAACAAGACTCATCTAGCCTAGACCGAAAAATTCGAAACCACTTGGACATGCTCCACAGATAGCTACAGTCATCGAATAAAATGCAAACAACTCAGCGGAGCCAGTGAATTGCATGTGAACTACAATAAAATAAATCGCGCCAAGCATAAAAAGGAGCCGAAGAAGGAAATCAGGCGGTAGTCCTGGAAACAAGACTTTTACAATCTACATCAAAAAGTTGACGCAGAATAACCCATTACGTTAGCTCAAATGAATCATTACGCTAGAGATAAGCTGTCCCAAAGAAGTTATTTTGTTTTGATTTGTTTATACAGTGCTACCGATATGCCTGCTTATCATATAATCAATACCAAGTAGTAATATATGCTGTAAACTGAAATATCTAGTGTAGAATCATAGAAATGATTAGCAGTAATCCATTCAATTACCTTTCAGAAATATAGTCATATTTCAATTCACATATTGTTTATTAACCCCCTAATATTATTCACACACAGACAATCACCTGATGAACGCAAGAAGAAGAAATATTCATAAAAATACACAGTGAAAGAACTACTTAATTGTACCTCAAACACACACACAAACACTTAGACGTCAGAAATTATACAAAACAAAAGACAATTACACGAAATATTAAACAAATAAACCAGGTAGGTTGAATGAAATTAGAAAGTCAGGGTAGAGATCCTGTAGAGCAAAAATGACTAATTACATAAATCAGTCAATTAATTCATTAATTAATTAATTAACAGGCACATCAATTGAAAACAATGATCCATGATTAGTATCTCACTAAAATATTGACATAAATAGAATTTCCTAGAAGCCATAAAACAATAAAAGGAAATTGAAATTCACAGTTCAGTAGTAAATGGATAAATAACCCAATTGATGTGAAATAACAAATCGAAAATCAAGAAATTATCATCTCATCTGTTATTTTTAAGGTTGAAAGAAAATAAACAACGAAATCAGTCACTTAAAAGTAAAACAGAAACAATAAAGGATAGAAAAAACTACTCTTTTTAAAAAAAACCCGAAGAAAGTACATACAACTTGAGAAAGACGTGTAAATCTATTCTGAATATATGCTGTATTCAGCCCAAACAAATACGCAGTAGTTAAAATAGTAAGAAGGGGGAGAATAATTAGAATGTGTATAAAACTATTTACTCAGGCATCAAAAAAGCATATAAAGCAACCAAAATAAATCCTAATAATAAAAAGAAAAATTTTCCCATCCTATCTTTAACGCCTTCTTTAAATTCAACTGGTAAAAGTTCACAGAATACAACATAAAAAAATGTTCCACAAGCTAAACCTTGAAGTACAGCAGTTGACATTGTCAATATAGCTGATTGTTTTTGTTGCATTAAACCATAGCCAACAAGAACACCGAATGGTGAAGAACAAGCTAAAATCAATGTTCCAATAGATTGATACATAAGAATACGAAAATATGAAGATTTCGATTGAAATGAACTGTTTGTTGATGATTCATTCAAACTTGTGGCTAAATTTACACCTATACCAATAGCTATAATAACTTTATGCAATAAGATAGCAGTGAATAAGGCAAGTGTACGTTGTGCTGTAGGCTGTAGTCCAACAGCTAATCCCTCAAATATTGAATGAACAGACATAGCACATAAGAGTAGAATAACACGTAATACTGATCCAAATGATTTAGCATCGAATTTGATATCATGTGTATGTGAATGATGATTGTGTTTATTGTTATCATTACCATAATCATCATCATCATCATCAAGAGGATGATGAGGCTCGATATCTACGCGTTGTTCAACTTGGTTTGTTCTAATATTACTAGATTCCAGAAGAAAATCATTCCCTGAATGCGTAGATGATGTAGGCGAAAGATCTATGGGAGTAAGTTCTGAAGTATTTGTTGTATTCGACAATTTAGATGGTCTTTTAGTATTGCTCACCATACGTTTAGAAGATGTATACTCCATGTTATTATGATGTAACTGATTACTTTCATTAATTATAGTAGGATTAATATTATTATTAGTTTTATCGAAATAGTGATTTTTCCGTCTCTCTACATTGTAATCATTATCTACAGAATTCAATGAATCACGATGTAAAGCTTGACTGGTAATATTTCTTCGCCGACAGCATATCCATTGTTCTGATTTTGTTGTCCAAACAATTTGTTCTATGCTTAAAACAAGAAAGAATCCAACAAGCGTTAAGAATGGAGCAAATGGAAATTCAGATTTTATATTCAACTGGTGTTTTGCTTCTGTTATAGCTTCTTCAGTATCAGGATAAAGCTCCATGAAACCTTTATTTTAAAAAAAAACAAATACAAAAGAAAAAAAAACTAGAACATTTCAGTGTTTATCAACAATCCTAAAGTGGTACCAATATTAAACTACAGAATAATGTTGAATAGTTCCTTCATACTTCATATCGTTTTCTAAACTAAAGGTAAAGTTTACATGATTATGACTTTCTTGACAATAAAATGATGAAGTACACAAATTCACTCCTACAAGCAACTAAGACTATACAATTTCCACCACAATCTCATACTAGTTAGATTTATATATATTATTTAGTCAGCTAGGTTATAATAATTTTATGTGTAGCCATTGAAATTCAATCACCATCTTTTTGTGGATATTTTACACTACACACTACAGATCTAATATGAAGAACTAATAACTCTACCTGCCCCTGCCTATTTAAATGTTAGCAGTTGAAATAGGATTCAAATCTGCAGTCGACTATTAGATATTCAAACGCTCAAACTAACCAGATATTCCCATTTCAAACGTGATATCAGTAGGATTCAGGATATAAAATTCGCCTTTCTAAGTTTTACTCAATTAATTGGATGTACTTTCAACTCAACAAATTCTAACCATAACCTAAAGTCACTGAAGTGATTGGTACTCGGTCCTAGAATTAGTCGTAAGATAACTACTACTATCCAAGCATACTCACAGATGACGTATCTGAAGTAGAACAAAACGCGTGGTTTAAGCTCCACTTCCAGTCGTTACCAAATTAAATGAAAGGATTTCTCTTCACTTCTTTTTCATATCACTTAGCTTTACCATTCTCTCCAAAACTGTAACTCGTGTAACAAACCACATATTCAACTAACCAAGAAAAATGAGATAGGTCTATTCATATGATCTATCAATGATGAATCTGAAATCAATTCAATTCAGTAGACGTCTTACGCAACACACGTGTAATCTTTGTAGTAATTGAAATTCACTGTGTGAAACAAACCACTTAGATCAGCGCAAAAACAGAAAATAAATATTATCTAATTCATTATCAAATCATAAGTTTAATAATAACTCCCTTGAGGTATTACACACAAAATAAGATAAGACCTCACAAAAACTTGTGGCAGTTGAAAGACTTCAAAACAACACAAAAAGAAGGAGTGAACCAGAATTAAATGATTTTAGAATAAACAAGAAGGATACTTAAAACTGTTTGTATCTTTTATAAATTTGAATAAGGTAATAATAAGGATTTTAAGTTTGAATTCATCATGGACTGATATCAGTCGGAGGAACAGTGGAAACCTATGAGGACTGGACAACCGTTTCATCCTAGTATGAGACGCTTCAGCAATCCACACCCATGATCCCGCCAGAGATCGAACCCAGAACCTTGAGGTTCCGTAGCCGGTACCTTGCCACTGAGCCACCGGATCGGAATTCAATGATCCATATTTCTTATTTCTGTCAGGATATTGTTTGAGAATTAGTCAACATGCAAAGTATTAAAAAAAACAAATATTGCAAGATAATATCATTTCATTGTTTCTCTGCAATTCCATATCATGGTTCACAATATTGTACTGAGCTCAGTCGAAGAACTGGTGAAAACCCGAGAGTACCGGATAGCTGCCTGGTTCTAGTATGGGACACCTGAGTAGTGAGCATGCATAACCCCACCGAGAGTCCAACCCCGGACCTCAAAGTTTCAAAGAGAACGGGTTACCACCTAGTAACTGGGTCGGAACCTAATGGTTCTCGTTTTCATTCTTCTGGCAATTCGCTATATAGTATGACCACCAACCAACATCATCAAAATCGAAATGCATTCAGCAGCCTAGCGCACTTTTGTGTAGTAGACAATGAATCACACCTATTGTGTGAGAGAAATGATACTACCTAGCTGCTTATACGTGGAGCAATTTTTGAACACGTGACTCATCGGTTGAAATTCAACTACCTAAACCAATGAACGACAACTCCACATCCAACGTCATCAGTTGACATCATTTACACTTCAAACTTGGTTAGCTTCTCAAGCTACGCTTCTTATAGTGACCTTGAGGTATCCACCTCGAAGCACATCGTTAATGAATAATAGATAGTAATTTAGTTTGAAGTTCGTGGCGATTTATTTTGAAGGTGGCTTTCATTAAGGACAGACTGAGAACAATTTATTATTGTAAACCATATTAGTTGTTATGCGATTGTCAAGAAACAGCAAAATATCATCTCCTCTTATTTAAACAAACAAAGATCAATAAAGTGATCATAGATCCGAGAGAGTAACTCCACCTACTAAGGTTTCTACAGTCAGATTTTACAATCATAGTACATTAGATGGGAATCATAGTCTAATGTCGAGTAAATTTAGGTATGAACCCAATTCCATAGTGACTGGCTAACGGATAAGTCAAAATGGAGTATCAGTTAAGAATATAAAGTGGCAACAAATGAAGTTTCTGAACGTTTAAACAATGAAACATTTATTGAGATACACAACCAGTCATTCACTACTGAACGACTGAAACAAAAGAGAAAGAACAAATAAAATGGTGTACTGTTTGCACCCATCATACATAAAAGTATTTTTGGAAATGATGTTACTGATCTAATAGTAATATGACTCAGTAGTTACGTGTAGTATGGTTCAATGAGCAATGAACAACATTTATCAACCGGTCATACTTTGATAGATAAAGTTAGTTCCAAACCTATGACACACTGAAAGTCAAGTGTTTAGAATAATTAGCTACAGTTCTACTCTTTCAAAAATAAATAGCATAAAAGATTAAACCATCAAGAAGAAATGAATAAAAAATAAGTGGCACATAGAAAGCAAAATGGACAGCTGCCAAATACTTCAAAAAAACAGTATGAACACATGGGTCAACGTTATAAGTTTTATCAACGCCTATATACAATTTTGAATGCTGATACTATAGTTCTAACTTCTTATCTAGAAGTTAGTTGATGACAGATTAAAGAGGATACTAAGCCAATTTAACATGACTGAAGTTAACTTTTAAAATGTGTGCAGAAGGTGAGTAGTGTTACTGAAGAGTTATTACTTGGCAGTTGTCACGATCCTCTAATTACCCATATAAAAATGATTCAAGATTCACTTTATACATCAAAGTATGAAGATTTCCACTAAGAACACTAAGGCACAGACAATTAGTTATTCCATAAATTCATTACCTGATAATGCTTAGTTCTCTTTAAAAATATCCCGAAACTATCTGGCTTTAAGGCACGTTTAAGAGATGTCCCAACTGATCAATAAAAATATAACTAGTCATCTGACCAAAATGTTATCTTAACACTTTTACATATATTTAAGTGAAAATATGCACACAGACTAACCTGAAGATAAAAATACACCTGCAGCAAAACAGTTACACCGACTAAACCAGAGTTGTAACTTTTCTTTACGTGCAGCCCTTGATAAATAAACCGCTTTAGGGGAATATTTTTGCTTTCCTTCCTTTTGGTAACCTCGACGATTTTGCATAGTAGAATGATCGTTCAAATTTCGGCCAAGCATACGATCTTGAATCCGAAATACATTTGGCCAGTTGCGTTCAGTATGAACCACCTGACCAGTAAGTAAGTCTCTATTTTCAAACTGATCTGCGTTAATTAATGCTGGATTGGGACTTTGACCAGGAGTGGATAAAATTTCAGATTCTACTGAAGTTTGGTGTTGAAGTGGGATTCGCTTCCATGAAGTATTGTTTTGCTTATTATCTGTAAACTGATCATCACTTAAACAATTTCCAAAATTCCTTTCTGCATTTGAAGGTAGACTGAGATCACAATACTGAAATTCAATGTTCTGTTCCCCTTCTTCATTATCTTGATCTATTTTTATTTGACCTGATCCGTTCTGTTGTACTTTACCCAAATGGAATCGTCTATTATCATCATGAGAAGATACATTATTTCGTTCTCTTAAATAGTCTATCAATAAAACAGGCAAACCACATGAAACAAGTACAGTGAAAAAGAAAGCTGCCGCCAATCCAACTTTGATATACCCTAGCCGAGAACTGTTTGCATCATGAGGAACTATTTCAGATGAGTTAGCAATTGGCAGTGATTCAGAAGACGTCCAAGAATGAGCTCCATAAGTTAATGCAGTACCATAAAGGAATAACACCAGTAAGTTAAGTAACAACTTGTGTATCCAAGCCACCTGAAATAAAATTTGGACATGCATGAAAGATATGATTATGAAAGAAATTACAAAAGTATAACGACGATAAGGCTTTGTAATTTAAAACAAGTCGGTAGGTAAATACCTTCTGTGACACGAATATACCATTTCAATTACGTCTGTAGATAAACGGTCAACGGGAAAAAACAATAATGTGATAATAAGACAAACACATGATCTGAAACCTACCCACCTTATGTTGACAAATTGACTAAGATAAGTAACACGTGATTTCAAAAATATTTTCTTAAAACTGGAATTAGTAACATCATGAATTACAGGAGAGTCATGAGATATAGATACCTTGTCAAATCTGTCATGATAATGTATAAGATGGACAAAAACGGACAACAGCCAAATAGCCAAATATAGATTCATAATTTAGGTTAGGAACTGCACCCAGTAGGAGAATAGAGTTGAGTAGAGATACGTTCGAATACATCCCTCTCCGGTTAGTAATTCAAAATGCTCACTATTCTTTGACTTATAAACACAAATGTGGTTCTAATGATTTTTGCATATTCTATAAGCTTTTAGTCCTTAATTACGATCTAAGTGAAACATACAAAAACCAGGAGAATTCAAAATATAGTCAACGAATTGATAATTTGTCAACTTCTAATTTGTTGCACTTTCTATTATTGCTCAGAGGTTTCAGTGATTGTCTTCCCAACTACTCAAATATATTCTATATTGTAACTTTCCAGTATTGTACGCGACAAACGGTTATAGAATACACTAGTTTCCTACACTTCAAAAACCAGTATACTCACCAAGTCTCAAAACAATCTGTACTCACAATTTTGTGTTGCAGTACTTTTATTTAGTTTATATGTCTTCGATGCGTGTTACAACGGCGTTAACAGAAAAGGATTTTCTAATGTTTAGAAGTGTATTTGGGATTTCTAACCTCTGGTAATAATTTACCGAAAGACACAGCCATATGTAACAACTAAAACAGGATGGTGCTCTATTCCAGTGGTGATAAGTTTGGCACTACATAAACACACAGTAAGATGCGACCGTGCTCAGAATCGCATAAGTTTCATTTACTAAACTTCAAAATATACGGAAATAACGAACAAAAATGGAATGATATTGGAAGTAAGGATATAGTTAGGGAGAGAACAAATAATCAAAATGTTTTCGAATTTCGTGTTAGTACGAAAACTGAATCCCTCTATGCTACTGTGATTAGCTTTGGGTGATTTCACCAACGGTTTCTAATCATTGATTTTGTAGCATCTCAGTAAACGTAATGATGTATTCTGCACGGCCCAAACTAAAGGTCATTGACTTCAAAGACAAACTATGTATTTCGAACTGATTATTGTTAGTCATTTTAGAAAATGAGCCCATTTCATTCTGCACCCTAAGGTGGTTTCATGACAAGAGAGCAATGCTACGGATTTTTCCAGTATATATGGAAACTAAAGTGAATTCTAAGGACTTCCCTAGTCACCGCTATAATTTCTATTGATTTGTTAACTTTCTAATTTCCTCTTTCTTATCAAAAGTGCATGCAATCTAAAAGCATGACTAGAGGAGAAAAAGTAAAGAGTAGTTACATACAAAGCGGCCATAGCGATGTAATTTATTTTAATCAGGTACACAGGATGAACATCAAATGCACACAGGCCTGGATGGTAAAAGTGGTCTCACCTGTAACCCAGCTATTATTTTTTAGTAAAAAAGCTGTAATAATATCTTAAACTATGATTATTACCCTTTCAATTGAGATTTAAACTAAGGAATTTAGAAAGAAAAATATGTAAGCTAGGAAAAGTGCAGGATATATTCGGAAAAGTTTCCACACATAATTTTCGGAAGTGAGTAAAAGATATATGCACAAAACAGATTCAGTAATGGATATGGTATACAGAAAAAGCAGTCTTGAATACGTTAGTAAGAAACTGGCACAAATGCATCAGTTCAAGTTGCTACAGACCACAGCAGCACGCTAAGAAGAAGCGGATAGAAGGACGATAATAAGGTGGACAAAAATGTATGCATGAAGAAAACACAAGTAGAAGCTGAAGCGAAACGTTCAGAGAAAAATCTTGTTTTGATTTTCTAAACACGCTGCGATTATATTAAAACTTACTTATATAGATGAAGGTTGTTGAAAATATATTGTGGAGCTCTGGCTCGCTCGTTTAGGCAACTGGCTGAGGGGTTCGAAAACCACTTCATCTACTGAGGTTTAGGCAGTCAGATAGTAGCATTAGCTCTCACACAATGGATGTAGCTCAGTGCCTACTGAACCAATGTGCACAAATATGCTGAGTGCATTTTAATTCCATCGAAAATATAGTCGTTTGATAGACAATCGAATGCACTTAACTACGCAATCTTGGTTGCAACTGCTACCATTTCAACATTTAGAGAAACGTCTCTAGATATGCTCAAATCGCATTTCGATAGTGATATTGAAAACAACAAAGTCTAGCATTCTTCACTGAGAAAACTTCAAGAAATCCTGTTTAATTTCTAGACTTGATTATAATAACTGATATACGCTAGATAAATTTTTGACTATCAGAAAATCTGATACCAAGATAACACTAAATATGGAATGTTTGAATCTCCTAATCCTCTGAAGAAAGTGATACAAGGATAGCTGATTTAAACCATGCTATATCCACCACATTGTGGAGGAATAAAGGTTATCGTTTCATACTTTAATCAAACAGGCGATTTACTGTGTCACACAGGAACCTATGGGAACGAAACATAAGTCAAGTATATTTGGATTTTTACTTTATCCCAGTCTCCACATAATAGTTATACCATCTACATACTTCAAGTCAACCACAAACCTTATTTAATTATCGACTTCTAACCATCAAATTAACTGGTCTCAATGATAAACAGATATAACTGTAGAACTCAAAGAAACTTGTTCCTTACCTGAAACCTTGCAAAGTATCATAAAGTGATTGTATTTTATTGCCTTCTACGCCCAAGAAGAGGGAAAGACAATTTATTGGAAAATACTGGAGATTTGAAATAGGAAAATTGGGTGAAACGTAGTAGAAATAGTGGGAAGTTCTATGTGACAATCCTGATAATACCAAAAAGTAATGGTTTTTATGCAGGACACCAATTTAAAATCCTCTACATAAGAATCCTAGTTAAAATCAGCGTATTGGAATCATCAATGGAAAGGAAAAGCAATCAAACTGTTTTCATTCAACCACCACAATAGTCATACTCTAAATATCAATGATAAACAACAAAATATTCGTGAATGTCAGCAAACTTAAAATATAATGCTACTGGTTACCTAAAAGTAACCTGGTCCTTTATAGATTCGCCACAACACAGGATCCTGTGATGCGTAAACCCATTGGAATGTATTCAATAATGCAAGTCCTACATTCATTTATAAGTAGTTTCGCCATTGCAAGTAAGTTGGTATAACTGCTTGACAAAATCTTGGTACATTACTTCTAAGAAATGTAACACAAAATTAGTGGGTGCAAACAAGTAACGTGAGGCAGTTACTTATCTACACTCAATAACTTCCAAGTCTTACCCCACAAAAAGGTCTTCCAGTAAAGAATAATGGTCAGCACAACTCTAAAATTCTGACCCAATGCATTCACAATCTCATAAAACTTTGAGAGAAGGTAAATAGTAACTGCTGATAGAAACCTATAAATCTCATTCAATCAGAACCTACATATTTTACCTAACACAATTAAAAACTTGAAGTTCACACACAATTCCATATCCATTTTGTCAAAATAAACCAGATTAGATTAAATTTGCAGTTAGTAATGTACCATCATTTCTTTTTGACTGAGTTATCTGATAACCTACTGCAAACAGAGCCAAAAGTGCACCTGCAAAAGACCAAACACATCTGCACTTCATAGCAAGATAGACTAAATCTTAAAGCTTGACTTATTAATTCTGCGTATCCCATTTCCGTTTTCAAAAGGAACCCTGTACATTTGAATATTACACGTCAGCAGCTGATGAGGTTCGGGACTACCCTTATGTCCCAACCCACCAACATAAGTAATGACTACAAATCCTGACCATAATCTTTAACTATCAGGATCTCTTCAGTCTCAGAACTTCGCCACGCAATATGAGTCCCTGACTCAAGTCTGTAAAATAAACATCGATACTGCTCTCCTAGCGATTTGGAATTCTATTACAAAAAGGGCCCATCAATTGACAAGTTTTCCAATGACAATCAAATTTTTACAGACTTTGCTGAACAGGTACAACCATATGTCTGACAAGATGTTGAACATGCTTGAGTCGGACATATCAACTCCGGAAAAACACTTAAGTATTTTGTGAATAATTGTTCACAAACTATGATGCTTCATGAAAAACCTCTGTAATCTCAAATTATGATAGCGTTAGGCCAACCGCTATTATATCTTTTATTCTCACTAGGAGCTTATAACCTCTTAAACCGACTCTATGACTGGAACATTATATTTGTGTTGCTAGACCTTTCCCCTTAGTCAACATTTTCATCGGAGCGAATAGAACAAAAGAGACCAAACAGAGGCTAAATGTAAGGCCTGACGTGGGGCTTTACAACATTTTCCTTATGTCTGGCCTTACGTTTAGCACATTTGGTCCTATATCTGGCTCTAAGTTCTCACGAGTGGCCAAGTGCGTGGCTCTACAGTAGGTCTAATTGACCTGACGTTCAACCCAACATAAACGGTGACCCAACGTTTGATCACACGTGTACCACATCTGGCCTCACATTATTTATGCATCAACGACGGGTCCAACTTTACCCTCTTCAGCCCGACAAAAATGTTGACTGAGCCCGTTTTCACATCTCTTTCTATTTTTATTGATCATTTGTGGACTTTACAGTATTTTCCACCCCAATGATGCTTTCAAATAAACATATCAGAAACACCCGATAAAATATCCTTTCTAAATTCCGAAATTTCTTACCAAATATTTATATTCTGCTGGGTTGAAACACAGTAATTTTGTAATATATCGAAGCCCTGATTGTGAGGCAGCAGACCTACTCCTGAGTAAGCTGACCCTCTGGAAGGATAAATCCCAATGTCTAGTTGTAGGAAACTTTAACGCACCAACAGTTGACTGGGATAGACTAACGACAAAAGCACTACGTAATTCGTTTGACCACCGATTAGTGGAAACATAAATTTCCTTAGCCCTCATACTGGGACGGCAACCAGATTTGATCGTCAGCATACTCCATCAGTTCTAGACTTAGTATTCTCACATACAGATGATGTATGCTTCATCCAGAACCTAGCACCCCTTGGTAAAAGTGATCACGCTGTGATCATCTTCAGACCCACACCAGACATACTATACCAGGCCGATGCCCCAGCTAGACCCAACATATGGAAAGCGAATATGGAAGCTATTAACCTGGCAGTCTCTTCAGAGGACTGGACAGTCAATCCAGAAGCCTCAGTTGAAGATGCGTGGTGCTCCTTCAAACAGTTATATACACGAGTGACCCAATCGTTCATTCCGTGGACTGTCCCGAGGGGACGGAAACACCGTCCTCCATGGATAACCCAAGAAATCCGAACCTTGCTACAACGTGAGGAAACGTGTTGCAGTCTTGTCACCTACTTCGATACATCCGAAGTGGTGAAGCATTACAAAGAAGCCCGCAATAAATGTATCGCTGTTATCCGCCGGTCTCGAATATGCTTTGAAACACGTCTTGCCCAGGCTGCATTGCAACATCTGAAGAGGTTATTTTCCCATTTGAACTATAGAACTGTGTCGTGGTATACCCACCCTAATCAATGAAACCCAAACTGACTGTTTGATTGAGGACGATAGGGAAAAAGCAGAAGCCATGGCTGGGTATTTTGCTAAGGTCTCCCCACAGGAATCTTCTGTGGACACTTATCCAACAGTAGAAGCATTGATATCCAACAGAATAAACTCTGTGAATGTCGACCGTAACGATGTATTTCGGACGCTAAGTACTCTTGATATAGAAAAATCAACGGGACCCAGAGTTGCTCAGAAAGCTTGCACTCTATGTAGCCGGCTCATTGACTACTATATTCAGACTGTCTCTCAGTGAAGGCACACTCCCCTATTGCTGGAAGGATGCCATAGTAACACCTATCCACAAGGCAGGTTCTAGGCAGCTATCATCAAATTACAGACCGACAAGTTTGACTAGTACTACAGTGAAAATCCTAGGAAGAGTAATCAAGAAAGCCATCATAGCCCATCTAGAGAGCAACACTGTATTGTCTCGTTCACACCACGGTTTTGGTAGAAATTCCTCTTGCTTGACTAACCTTCTTACAGCCAGAGAAAGTTCGACTAGGTCTAAAGATGATAGTATATCTGTAGATGTCATGACTTTAGTAAGGCATCTGACAAAATACTTCATTCCAGGTTGCTCGGAAAACTGGGAAGTTTTGGAATCACTGGCAGTCTGCTCTCATGGATAAGAGACTTTCTTGTTGGTAGGAGACAAAGTTAGGATCAATTTTCAACTGTCTTCTTGGAAGTCGGTAGAGAGTGGAGTGCCACAAGGCACAATCCTGGGCCCCCTACTGTTTCTCCTAAACATAAATGAGCTGCTAAATATCATGAAATCCCCTATGGTTCTCTACGCTGATGACTTAAAAATCTGGCGGGAAATTAGGAACGATGAGGATATACGTGCGCTTCAGGCAGACCTGAACAGCTTGTTTACCTGGTCAGAGAAGTGGCTGATGTCTACGAATGCAGGTAAATGTATGAGCATGCACTTGGGGCACACACAGCAACACCTATGATAGTGATGTGACTCCTTTACCATCAGTACTGACTCACAATGACCTAGGAGTCACAGTTAGTTATGACTTGAAAACCATGGCTCACTGTCTATTGGTAGCAGCTCGGAGTTCTAGGACTTTCTGGGCATTACGTAGAACTTTTACGAAAATAAGTGGTGACATGTTCACCATCTTAAACACATCCTTAGTTAGGTCTAAGTTATAAAACTGTACACAGGCGGCTACTCCTTATCTGAAAGGTGGTACAGACCTTCTAGAAAGAGTTCAGAGGGCAGCCACTCGTATGATCCCTGCGATGACTGGCATCACCTGTGAAGACCGACTTAAGGAGCTGAACCTCTTCACTTTTTCCTATCGCAGACAGAAGGGAGACTTAATCATGCTATACAGGATTCTAAGAAATGACTTCGAACCTTATTTATCTTCTCTTTCCCTTCCCACTAGGTCGGAACACTTCAGAGGACATATAAGGAGACTACAAAAGCAAAGAACGAACATAGTTTCCGCAGAGTACTGGTTCTCACGTCAAGTAACGAACGCCTGGGATCGACTCCCAGAAGAAGTAGTGTCCGCATCATCAATTGACTCGTTCAAAAGGGATAATCACCGAAATCTACTGGAAAAGGATTAATATAGGCTCCCAGTTTCCTATCCTCAAACAACAAACCTGAATCTGAATCAATATAGAAATGATGGATTTTTAAATTGTTTCAATGCCCTTAAGGAGTTTCATCATTTTACAAGTTTATACATATATATATGTATATGTATATATATATATATATATATATATATATATAAACGTCTGACATGGGCAACTAGACTAAGAAGAAATTGTCCCAAGTAGTCTGACTGCTCTCCGACAATCGTGATAGTTCTATATTTCTGTTCACTGTCTGCTTTGGGAGGTGTTTCTGCTCCTGAGTCCTAATGGTTGTATTTACCTCCGCACTAAATAATTGATTAGCACGAAACACTGGAGTAATGCTGCTATAAGAATGCTTTTTTATTCAAGTAAACTAAATTCTAGTAACTGATTTTTTAAGGTTTCACCAGGTGATACTTTCTATCTGCTGGCTCTTAAAGAACGCAACGAGATTGTCATCGTACCCAGTAAGTAAATGTTTAGTGATCGACGCGTCGATCGTCTACTTCGACAACATCCAACATCAATAGTGATAGTAGAGGAAACTTGTAATTTTTGAGCTGTAGCTTATACGTCGTGAGGTTCGACTATTTGTTCGGTTTTACTCCTTCGGTGGTCAGCTCCAATTGGAGCTGAAGTTATAACAACATGGGAAAACCATGAATTATAATTGAAGTGTCCTTGAATAGCGAAAAATCTGCATAAAAGAATACCCACTTATGAAACATAATTTCCAGAAGTTATATTCAGAAGATATCTTCTAACCCTTCAACAGAGTGTCTGCGGAGAGAGACTCTTAAAGTACATCAATTGTAGTAAATACAAAAAGTGCAACCAAAAAATAAAGATACGCACACATGTGCGGAGGTAAATACATAGCACAGAATACTCACCATACTGTCAACGGAAAATTACATAATTCAACCAAAACGAAGAAAACGAATTAACAAGGTTGTCGATAATGTATTTAGTCATTCTAACAACTGAATCTTTTCAATATGCAGATTGTGTAAAACGTTTGGAAATTCATATGATTCTCAGAAATCACTTTAAAGTTTTATGTCGAAAATCAATCAATTGATATCTCACACTGTATTCTACTTCCAACATCACCCAACATTGTTAGTGAAAGCGTAGAAAACTGATAATTTTTTATCTCTCCCATCCAGTTTTTAGGGCTTGGTTTGGGTTATTGTGTCTTCTCCGGCAGCGTGCAAGGAAATCTCTTCTGCTTTCCTGCCTTTGGCTTCGATGAGATGGATGTCTTGAGGGTTAGTAAACTGCAACTTGTTAAGTGATTAGGGAGCTATGGATTGCCAGGAAGATTGAGGGTCTCTCGTAACTCTTGTCTGTGTATGTGCCTAGAGAAAGATAGAAGGATCATCAGAAAAAGTAAATGGGAAGTATCGGGGTGGTAAAAATAGTTAGCATGGGTCTAATTGCTAGAGAAGAGCTACTAGATGATGTAACTGTGTCAATCATAGGGGCAGTGAGTGTTCGACAGAGGGGAAGCGATGGCGAACTTGCGACGTTAACAGCTCCCTTGACATGTCTGTGGTGGACCATGTGGGATAAAATGGCTGTCTGACCGTCTTTTGGATAACTCTAACGGATGGGTTGGGACTAAAACCTGCGGTAGGGCATTCCATGAAGCACATGCTCTCAGGAAGAAAATCTTGGATCCGAACGTGGTTTAGATTATTTTCTGATACAAAATTGACAGATGCAGAGGCCAGTCAATAATTATTCGTACTTGTTATGTACCACGGACACAAGAACAAGGAAGAACACAATAGCGTAGTCGGATGGAATTGTATGTTTGCGGGGTCGTGCCAGGATCCGACACGTTCCAACTAACTGGCTGGAAAGTCGATTACGAGCAGTGCAACGTAACATGACAGCGGGCCAGCTGGCCTGGATGCTTGACCGGATGCCTTCGGCTTGGCGAGTCCAGTTAAACCATGAAGGTCGGCATCGGTGTTGAATTTCCATCCGACTACGCTATTGTGTTCTTCCTTGTTCTCGTGTCCGTGGTACATAACAAGTACGAATAATTATTGACTGGCCTCTGCATCTGCCAAGTTCGCGGAACGACAATTCCTAGAACCCCCAGGTGTGGCCGTACGCAGGATTTGAAAAATGAGAAACAGCTCAGGGGTGTAGGCACCAAGCTGTCTTAGCAGAAAGTGCAAAGTGGTGTTCGCTCTGGTTGCCATGTCTTTGTTGGTGCGGCTGGTGTTCAATGTACCGGAAAAGTTGAGCCCAAGTCTTTTTCCGTGGTGGCCTAACATGCATTAGTCGTCGGTCCTCGTTTCGTAGCTGCGGGTGTACATTACTCCGCACTTTTCCACGTTGAAGCCCAAGCCGTTTTCCGAAGACCTGAGTTCAGTCTGCTGTGAGTCACTTTTGGTGCCATACCTTAACACCATCCAACACCCATATTGTGAGTATGATAAACTTATTCTTTGTTAACCCTCGCAATGAGGTTTCAATTCACTAAGTTTTTGGAATTCTACTCTGCCGGTGGTCTCTCCTACCATCCGTTCATTAACTCCAAAATTTTCCGTGTGGTTCCTTCGAAATCCACGTGCTGATCAGCTGGAGAAGTTAAAGAGATTCTAGTCAAAACGAAACTGCTGACCAGAGTTACTACCGGCAGACGTAAAAATCAGAAGACGTTTAGGTAAATATCAGCAACAGAAGCTCATTGGAAAGCGGAGGTTCATTAAAAGTCTCCCTCCCACCCACCATCTTTCCAAAACGATTCTCGCTACCAACCGGATACGAATCCACCCAACGGTGGGATCTCCGAGTGTTAATACAGGATGGAGTACCTAAAGACAGCTGCGGAAAACTCTACACCATCAACAAAGACTACACTTTTTCGAAAAACGAAGCGATTGGGATTCGTTACCTGGAGATAAAGTCAGCAGTGGTAGCCGCTCGTCACAGCAACGTACATAATGAAGCTGACGTTGAGGTCGGTATCAAGGCAAAGAGTAATAAGGGGCGTGGCTTATCATCTGATTTGCAAGTATCCAACGGCGAACCTTTGGAAAACTTTGGCTCGACATGAGCTTACCCTAACATGGGCTAGCACAAACCCGTCCAACAGATATTCTTCCCTATAGACTTACATATTGGCATTGTAAGGGCAAATTTTTCATGATCTAGCAAGGCCTACCTTTCTGGGTATGACTTAAAGTTGGGAGCACAACTTCATCTATTTGTCAGACAACCCACAAATACCTAGGCTTAACTTAAGTTAGGTGCATGCACTCCGCTTGCCCACATTGCCAATCTATTTTGGCCAATTATTCAAACCATAGCTTTCGAACCTTACACACAGTGCTATGCATCGCACCACAACTACAAGATTTATCGCGCCTCCCGCAGCTTGTGTCCTGTGTCCTGAAAAAATGATGCCCTCCCCCTGCCCGACCTTGGCACTGTCCAAAAGCCGCATCCAAAGGAGGACAGTAACAGTTGGCCCTAAATGATAATTGATCGTTTCTAATAATGCTAACTATTCCCTTTTACCCCTACACATGAAGCTTTCACGACCAAACCTTGGCCTTCACTAAAAGAGTGTCTATTTCAAGATCGTTTGGCCAAATTGTGCGACAAAATAGCTGTGATAAATTAATGTTTCCTCAAAATGGTCACTCGTAAACTTTTCAAGCTGCTCGAATGCTGGCACACCCACATCCATTCAAACAAATCTATCGCTTCTGGATGCTGGAGTTGGAAAAGTGAGGACATTTGACTTTCAGTCATAATATTCATCAAGATTGTGAATCTTTGTTGTGGAATGGTATTAACATGGATGGACTATACAGTCCTGGAATCGTCAGTGAAGTACAATATGTAAACAATTCATATAATTTTCATCATTATCTCAAGCAAAAAGTACAAACTGTTACAATGGAAGTATTGGCTTCAAGCTTCATTTTTCTCCAGGTAGTGTCTGAATACAAACCTGGTTTTTTTGTTAATGCGAGGAAAATACTTCCACTTGTTCAACTTGTAAATTTTCTGCACACTTATTCTGCTGGGATGTTCCATTATATGCACATGCGGCACTTACATCTTATAGTGACGACGGGTAGGGATTCAGGTTACCTTCCATGAAGATGAATGTAAGTTGTATACAAATTTATCCATACATGTAAAAATGGTGTGTGACTGTATATTCAGGAACAAATATTATTATCATTATTACTTTAGCTCTCAGAAGGGAGTACCCACATCCCAATAGTCTATGAGTTGTGCCTCCTGTAGCTTGAGTTTTGCGCAAGTCTTTCTCAACAATAAATTCAAAGGGTGACCAAACTCATAGACTAACTTGTAGCACTCAGTTCCCGCGCTCTGTAGGTGTAGAAACCACTTCCTTGTAAGTGGTGCTTACAAAAGTCGAATCATCGAATGTTCCTAGTAATCCCGTCAGCAAAAAAGCACACGCCAACACTTAAAAGATGCAATGATAATTCCGGATTACCCATAACTGACTGCCTCAGGGCGAATTTTATTTGCAGCAGCCTGATAAACTATAATCAAGGCCTCATTTGCAAGTTTGCATCAGTCACAAAACTACCAATTAGTCCATCTTTGGAGATATAGTGCATAATCCCGGATACTAAAGCTAAACTTGCCCTCTTCAAGGCAAAAACAGCCTTTTTGTCACACCATGCCACACTAACGTATTCATGTACTAACGTCGATGGAACCGACTCAGCACCAAAGCGGCTGTGTGGCAGCTGATCAGCAATCAGCGATTGCAATCACCTTTTTCTTCATGTACATGCAAGGTATGAAAATCAGGTACAGGACGTTCGGTAAGCGACTCCTATTCGCGAGCTGTTCCAGGCATATTTTTACACCCAACTGCGAGCCAGAGTTTCCACTGAACACAAACCACCAATATTTTGTCTCAGCTCCAGGTAGATGCCTCTAACGTAATTCAGAACAACTTGAAGGAACACACCGGCTTTCGCCGTGCATAAATAATACGTATCCGCGGTGATCAATTCAACAGATGATGAATTATCTCAAACATACTGCATGAATGGCAGACGAGGTACTCGCGTAGTTGACGTAACCTGTCCTAGACAAGAACTACAGCTCAACTATTTGCTGACGCTCGAAACTAGCAGGTTAAAGTTGCCACTTACATGTTCGGGTGAAAAACATATATGCACAACGTATCGGCCGTTCCTAGCATTCTAGAGTGGATAACGCCATGACGTCATGAAAGCGCTGCAGGTACCACCTCATCGAGATGCACAACGGGCTCAATGCGTCAGAAGGGGAACGTCCCCAAGAACTTAGGCCTAATCGACCATATTCTGCCAGGAATGAAAGATGAACTGGCAGAAAAAGAGTCAGGTACCACCCTTTTACCTTCCCACGAGTGCTCTATGAGCACTGCATGGATTTCGTTAAAAATCCTTCTGAATTTTAAGAAACACACGCGACTTTTAACCTCTGTTTATCACTCCACAAGAAGGCCGGCAGTAGTATTTGCGAGAGATATCATACCTTAGGCAACCTCATGTTCCCGATCAAAAGATAACAATCCTCGAATTTCAATGTTCGATGACAGCTGATCGTGGGCAGCAGCAAAAAGCGAACTATTTCGCTCTTCTAGATCGCCCTGAAACCGAAAGCCAGCTTAGCACCAACAAGACAAAAAACGATGAAGCTCCCCACCGGCAGCTGAAAGCTGCACTTCTAACTACGTGAACATCTCAGTCGGCCAACCCGCTGCCCATAATCCAACTGAGTATTCGGATTGAGTAACACGGCGGCACACAAAACACTTAAGTATAACTCCTGTGCAGAATGTTTCCTCGATTAGTAGGTAAAGTCACCTTACCTTCAAACTGCTCATCTGCTCCCTACCGAAAGTCGTAGATGGTTGCGTTTACAAGCCCGGAACGTTTCGCCGGATCCTCTCTCACCTAAACAAGTAAAACTGATGTTTTCCTCCATTTGTTTTGGCAAAGGGTATCTCCGATGGCAGGAACATGAGTTCCACCCTAACTGTTTGGCAGAGTAACCTTACTCCCAAGGCACGTGAGCAATTCTAAGCACGAGTGTACAGTAAAAATGTTTTCCAAAAATATCACGATAACTTACGTCCAAAAAAGTGATGAAGAAAAACGCCCGCTTCACAGACGGCATTATATGGTGATATGAGTTCCCTACCAATACGGAATTCAACACGTACGTGGTCACAAACCTCAGCACCGAGGAATCAGTGTTTCAATGACCCTTATAACATTCGCTCGTGACTTCGATGACGCTGTCTGATGAGCAAGCTCTGCATAAACTGCACGTAAACAAGCCGTGTTGCGTTGGGGAAAGTTACGTACACGCATAAATATGATCAGGAACTTCTTGCTTAGCCACCTTTTCCATGATACAAGGGGCTAGGGATGTGATATTCATGAGGTGGTCTCGAATGTTTGACTTCCGCCAAGATTTTTATTTTGGAGAAATGCATGACAGATTCCGACAGTCATCGTAGTACGTTGCGGGGAGATACGTAGGGAACAGCTGCATGAGAGTCTGCGGCTCGTCGTAACCATACCATAGGGCGCCAACCCCAAGGTCACATTGAATGATTTAACAGGCAACCTCCTAGTTTGTGAAAAGCTATGAAAGCGGCAAGAGAGTTATGCTTCCTCAGTTATCATAATATGGGAAGCATTTCTTGGGCTTACTTGAAACTTTGGGTTGCAGTAATATCAGGGACCATTTTCTCTACAATGATGGTTTAGAAAATGTTGTGTACGATATGATCTTACATACATTCTGGTTCGCAGTTTATACTACTCAAATAGTACAGTAGTTTAAGTTCATCGAACATTCTAATGTGACATCTGCTTTGTTTTTGCTCATCGCCTCAAATGTCGTGTACCGTTTTCATTTTTTTACTTTCTTGTATTAACCAGTATTTGTAGATGATCACCATTACCAAGTAACTGAACATGCCAAGTGATAAAAAGAGATTGCCACAAACGCTGGAAACAGACATTTATCCGAACGTTTCTACGCACGAAAGTCTGCAAATCGTTTAGTTATCACCACCATTAATTTTAAATGTTTCTCAGCTATGTCTACAGCTGTACATTCGCAGAGAGATAATGGCAGTGGAAGTAATCTGTTCCATATAGTTCTCGTCACGAAAAGTTAAGTGTTATTATTTAGTGCGAAAAGCTTAGTTCATTAGGCGGAGGGACGGTTGGAAACAAGGTAATCTGCAAGAGGAGGACAATCAAAGCAGCTTCAAATGAGCGTACTTAACACAGACCCGTAGACCAACATAGTTTAAATATCAATTTATCAGCAGCATTCCGTGGTAAAGGTCGAATTTCTGAGAAGGGGCGATGAGTCGTAGAATTTGTGGCTATTGGCTACAAAACGTGCCTTGAAAAACTTTAGATCTTCATTAAAGTGGGCTGCGGAAGTCTTCCAACCGAACGGATGAATAGCTATGGTAATCTCGGGACATGAGAATTTTATCTGTCATTCATCTAGGCCTTAGGCTCTCTACCTCCCCACTGGTATCACCTGCACCATACAACAAACTTGTTTCCCAATTAGGCAGTCAAAAAAGCTATCGTTTTCCGATCTACTTTTCATTCCTTAAGGATTCAAAAAGCTCTGATTTGAAGATTTATGCCCTGCAACTAATCTTTCCAACTAGACTGGTTAATCAAAAAGTGTTTCGGGAGACCCAACTCCAAGAACAGATTTTCGGGCCACAATTTCAAGACATGCCTTTCCTTGATGTAATAAGCCTCCTGGCTCTCGTGACTAGTTTCACTACGCTGATAGTTTCATCAAAAAGCTGAGGATTGAGACTCATGTGTTTGTCGAATCTTGAACACCCAGAGTATTCATTCCTTTGAAGACTTGAATATGCATATGATTATATTCGCATTAACCTTTACTGCTGCTGTTTAACGAAATGGCTTTTACCCAATATTTGTAACCAGCAATATCTAAACAATTGCTTACTCTGAAAGACCATATATGGCACGATGATTCATTCTTTCTTAACATCCGGAGCTTAACAGAGAAAAATAACATTTAGACATTTCCTGTAAAAATGGCATGTGTTCGTATGATTCATTGTTCGAAATATGTTGTTACCATTATCATTATACAAGATAAGGTCAAACAAACAGATGGGTTGGTTTTTACCCAATTTCAGCGAATGTTGCAGCCCAAAAAGGCCGATTGCAGTAAACTGGAAATATTCCTCCGTTGCTGGATAGTCATAGAATAAATCTGCCTTCATGTTGTGGCATGGAGGCCAGCTTCGCTTCCAAAGACTTTTAAGCCAGAAGCACACTGCTGCATGACTTGGGAGCTTTCGACACAATCAACCAGACATATAAGGTACTATGTCCAAGCAAGCATTCATTTTGACCCATAAACGCTGGTCTACTACCAAAATGTCATGGATTTTTAGTTGTCTGCACGGTGACCAGGGAATAAATGAGTGCTACGGCAAGAAGCGGTAAACAAGTTATTGAATAATGAGGGATGTCGCGAGCACACTGCCAATAACCTTCCAAATGGCTTCTCGACCATCCCATTCTGATAGTGCAGCGCCAACTGAGGCAACAACTTCACTTCAAAGAACCGATTCGAGGTTATTCCCTCTTGCATAGGCCTTGGCCTATAACATGTCAAAAAGGCTGGGGCAGATCTAAAGCACAGAAGTGGGGATTTCTAGAAGGAAGAATGAGTGGCAAAAAGTTGAAAAATCATCGTTTACGGAGAGCCAAAGTTCTGAGCATAACACAGAGCATGTTGGTGCTTCCACCGTAGAGAAGTCGTTTACTTGAGTTTTAGAGTTACTTCTTCAGGTCAAAATGTGTAGGCTTCCTGAAGAATATGTTGCGGATCGTTACAGAAATAATAGCCCACAACCTGACAAAATGGGAGGTCGTCTTCCTTTGAAACGGCGGTCTTGACTACCTAGGTATCACCCCCCCAAAAAAAAAGAATGGGCACGTGTTTCGCAGCATTTACATTCACTTCTATTGGAAGTCAACTACCAAGAGTTGAAAACGTATATCTGCGCGGCCTTATTTGCGTAGGTCAGCTCCTGCATTAAACATCATGTTTTTGTACTGTTTAGAGGAAGTGGCACCAAGTGCATCAAGTGCATTGCTCTCCTTTCAATAAGAATCAAACTATCTTCTTGATTATGTATGAGCGTGGAAATAGCAATATGTGAATGAATGAAGTACAAAACTAAACATATTCAATCGTTAGGTATGGCGAAGACAGTCGAGGCTGACACGCATGAAGATGACTAATTTGAAGCAGTTTATAAATAACGAGTGAAGCCAAGGAGAAACGGTAATGTAGAGAGGGGAACAGTATTCTAGCGGAACTGTGGTAACCAACAGAAACATGTGAGACGGATAAATGGCTTGAATCCTTTAAATCCTTCTCAGTGGCTGTTGTGATTATCTCACACCTTCAGCTAAACAAGCCCGTTGAAACCATGGGAGAAACATGCTATGTCAAATGGTGGTTGTCTGCTAGATACAGACATTTGAACTTTTCCCTGTCTCACGTGAAGACTTCTGAAATTTGTGCGCGACAAATGGTGTAGTGAACTCAGGAGCAATCAGCATAAAAAATCGATACTATACTTCACACAACTTCATGTTTACAGAGATATGGCAACCAGGTTTCGAGAAAGATAAGATATAGGGCAGAATTTCAACGAGCATGGTAAACTGATTAGAAAACAAGTCTGTTCGGAAACAGAGTTCTTGGCCCAAAATGGTACTACGCTTATAGCAACACGAACCAGAGTCCAGTGATAAAACAATGACTCTTGAGACTTAATGCCTTTCATTATATTGTTGTCGTGATTCAGAAGACGAGAAACTCACTTCTGAGGTTTCCAAAACCAATCTGTCAGTACGAACAGCCGGCAAAACCAATAAGAAGCAAAACACAAGTGGAGTGAAACAGGCAATCTCGAACACGTTTTGTAATGGTTACACACCTTAACAGCACCGAGAAGCAAGACTTGTTTCACGGTTATTAGGAGGAACGTACGAAGTAAGTGAAGTAACAGGATTACTTTTAATTAAGATGTTTGAAAAATAATACTCGCTCACTGTGTACACTGGTTAGGAGATTCAGTTGCTAACATAAAGCCATCTCCATTATTCGAGAGAATATAACCGTAACTGATAACTTCGACTGCTAAGAACGAGCATATATTTTTCAGCCTTCAGCAGTGAAATATGTATGGATTAGACAGTAAAAATCTAATATTATTTTCATAAACTGTTTACACTTTAGAATTTTTTTATGTCCTCTATCTCTTTTGCAATTTCAGTGTTTCAGTATTCCGTAGTAAAACTTTAGCCATCCTAAAAACAACTTATTCTATTTGATTCAGCAATAATACACTCCTAGATAAGAGTATAACTTAAGTTATTTGTTTAATCGCATGTTATTGCATTTCACCTTTGCTAGGGCTCCGTTTTCAATTTGTCGAGTTGTTTTGGTAGACCATGCATTTGGGGTGTTTTGTGAGCGTTTTTGAGGGTTTAACAAACACTTCTCAAGGAATTTAAACAAACGAAACATTTTACAAAGCTATTGTAATGCTGAAAGCAGAGGATCAAGATGAAGACTGCGTGAAAAATGGCTATGACTTCTTGAAGTCAAGCTTGTCTGGTATTATCACGTAAGTCTGTGCATTCACGTCATATTCACTCGCAGCCCGGATACACGTTCCAGAATAGATTCTTTGATCCAGGAGGTCGCCTCGCTGAAGGATGTTGAGAAACTGCTCTTTTGTCTGCTACTTCCTGTGGAGAGTAGTCATTGTCTCAGTAACACATCATTTGCTCTTGCTGGTGACGATCTGGATGTATCATCAGGCTATGATGTCAATGCACTGGGTGTTGGGCTGTTTTCACCAAACGCTCAGTCTTCCCTTCATTTGTCCAATCAAGTTGAGCAAAGCCAAGCTTATACCTGGATTATGTCCCACCTTGAAGAGGATCCCGCAACATGTTTGAGGAAGGATGAGGTTTACGATGATTACAGGTAATCTTGTGTCATGTTAGTCGTTCTTAACATTTGGCCATTTGCGCAGCAAGTGAGTAGTTGGTTTTCAGCCTTATATTGTGTATGAACAGCGACTGATGCCTATTCATATATTGTTCCTCATGGTTCCTAATTAAGGCAGGATTCACGAATTACATGGTTCCCGAATAATTTGAATGGGTCCAGCTTCCTCTACACTTGACAGTTGTTGTGATGAGTGTCTTTCTCAAACATTCGATCCGTAAAGTTTGGTAGTTGCATTTCGATTGTTACCCTATGTTTATTGTCTTATTTCTCGTTAGCTTGTCACTTTTACTTACTTTCTCTTCTACTATGCTGTCCTGCAGTGTAGCACGATAAATTTATCCACTTCCTAGTGTTTTTCAAGACTGCGTACACCACCCATTCTTCCCCTTTTAAGTACAAATACCCTATTAGTATCCATTCGTTCCACTGGAGCACCAGTTGGTTTTTGAGTAAAACTGGTCCTCCGCACTGTGGTATGACTAGACACTTGACATTTTCAGCCGACAACCGTGAAGTCTGCTTCAATGTGATAGCGGTTTGATGAATCTAGTTGGTCTAGAAGATGGTACCCCCCTTCCCAAACATCAGTTGACGTCGCCTGTGTAAGGAAGTGTAGGTAGCCGAGATTTACAATACACTAGGGACTAGTGTTTGAAGTAATAAATGCGTTTCGCTTCTCTAACCGGCTCCCTTGACTGGTTCCTAAGTCCATTTTAGTTAATTTGATATAGGTGTGACCTGTCTGTAACCCATGCAAGAATTTTTGCGGCCTAGACACTCAACTTTTGATAACTTCGTCATGCGTTCGGTAACAGTTGTGTGCGCCTGGTCTTAGTCTCGTGGTTCCACAAACCGCAGCGATAAGCTTGAAAAAGTTTACGGCTATGCATGTTTTACCTATTCTGTTACTAATACCATTGCCTTTACTGTATCTAGAAAAGACAGTAGATGGATGCATAGCGCTAATAAGGGTTTTTATCATAAAAGGAGCGTTATAATTCACAATGAGTTGTCCGAAAAGCAGACAAATAGCCTCATGTCAGGTATTTACCCATACTTCGCATTACTAGCACACGTGGTTACGGTGAGGTCTGGCCATGACGTCACGGGTTGTTCTTCCGAGAGATTCCCCAGTTGACTCAGGACGCAAACTATTTGATCGTACTGAATGAAGCGTATAGCTGAAGCAAACGCTTTCCGCGTACATTCACATCCACTAGGTAGCGTCCTTGAACTCCTGATTCATTTGTTGTTTGACTCCCAGAGCATGAAGCGAGTACACTGACTCACTTATCCACCACATGACTTTGAGACGACGCTGTCAGAAGCAGAAGACATGAAACGATTACAAGGTTCTAATCGCAGATGTCTTCGTGATATTCCTCTCATGGCGGAATCCCCTTAACAGCAATGTTGAGGTCAGGCGGAGAGCACTAGGTAGGTTTGTTAATAAAGTGAATCTTCACCAACTGAGGTGACTTGGATATATACTTCGCATGCCAAGCCACCGCCTGCCTCGATGTAGCATACCAGTGGATTAGGCTGGAAGTTTCAGGGAAAGGGGACCAAGACGTGGCGCCAGTCAATGAAGTCTCTAACTGTTGGTGTGAGTCCTGTTGGGAGAAGTAGACTACCTGTTTGGGGTCCCTGAGACGAAATGAATCAGTGCTTGAATCTGTTATATGGTTGAAAACCAGTGCAGATTTATTCACTGCTTGATATTTTCTAAAACTTGAATGTTCACACTAACCTTTATCTTCAGATTGCTTGTTCTCTCTCAGTACTTTGTCTTTTTTGATATCACTCTATCCACCTGCTTTGTATGTGACTGCGAAGTGTAGCAACTTGATTCGATACAACTGTATTGTTAGGTTCCACGTTGATTTTGTCAGTCCCTCCGTCACACTGAGACCTCAGATGCAGCGTCAACACTAAGTATGGGACTTAAGTACTCGCATAGTAACTCCGTATTAGATTAGTTTATTTGCTGGATGCCATTTTCAACTTAATCATGCCGAGGTAAGCACATGACCAAAACTGGTTATTATAGTTTTACTCCTTCCTCTCTTGGTTTTTTCGTAGTGAAATCCCTGTATATTTGGAGTTGTTTTCCTATCATTTCCATGCATTTGTTTGGTGTCATTTCGATTGAGAAAGACTAAGTGACCAACCTTTCCCTTCACCTAACCGCCTTTGCTTTTAGGACTTACTCCACTCCACCCTATCGTGTGTTATTGCGTGCGTTACAGTAGTCTGATTTTTCATGTATCCTATCTAAACTTAGTTGAATTCTCATGCACTGATAACCTGACTGACCTCGGTCCGCTAGTTTGACCTGTGTAATTGACCTTAGAGTCTCTTGGTAGTTATAATTATTTTGTCCAAATGGGTTGGTAGAACCTTTCGCCGATAAGTTAGTCTCAGTTAATCTTTAGGTCTGAATACATTCTTATTCCAGTTCCTTTCACGAATCTTCTTCACATGTTACTAGGTAAAATTTCAACGGTTAAAGATACTGGGACATGTTACATATGCCTAGTCACTGTTTACGTCACCACTCAATGTAAGCTAAGGTAGTCTTGGGTTGGATAGGAGCCAGAGGCGACCAAACAAAAACATGGTATCAACCAGTGAAGCCTTTGGTTGCTCTTCTGAATCGTGTAGGAAAAATGTGAACCCTCCAATGAGGTCCACATGACAACCAAAGTTGGCGGTCGGAGACTAGGTGATATGACTTATAATCAACGTCGATGGCGTAGATGCACCCAAACATTATCTTCGTCTTAGTCCCCGTACCGAATTTAATTATTTTTCATTATTCTTCATCCTCTTTTCATGACTGTGTACGACTTTGTCTACTTCCTTATTCCTCTTACGTCTCTGTGCCTTCTACGTTGATGTTCTGATATGGGGTGAGTTCAAAACAACCGCTAGACACTAAGAAGTCCCTTGTCCCATCATAACTGATTAAAGTGAGTCTGACCTTTAACTTTTAGTTTCCAAAACTGGATAAAAACAATTTATTCAAGGTGTTCCGACCAAAGTTCTAGCCGCTCCTCTTAATGGGCTATCAGCGCAACGTAAGCGTAAGTTGGCCAAGAGTTTCCTCAACTATCGCGACTAGGGGTTGATGGCGAGAGCGATGGAAAAGGCATCAGTGTTAGGTAAAACTCGGCAACCATGTTGGCTTATTAAGGACAGTGTCAAGGAAAAAACGATGGTTAGTGATAACCTAGAACAGGCAGCTAGAACGTCTGGCAAAACACAAGTACAGCCCCACTGTCCCCCAGAAACGCTTCAGTTGCCTAACATCTAGCCTGAACCTAAATGAGACATAGACCTCAGTCTTCCAACTCTCCTTGAAGTTCACTTGACTGTATCGAATCTAATTCGATACAAGCACCAAGACCTAACCGTTTACCGTCTGAAGTTTTCAGGGATGGAGGTAGGGAATTGCTAATTAAAGTGATGGAGCTACTAGGTAGTGTATGAGAACCAGAAGTAGTTCCGTTCTGCTGGTCTATGTCATTGATCATCTCAGTGTGTAAGAAGGGGGAGTTCCTGTGAGAACCTCAGGGGAGTCACTTAACTAATATCGTGTCCAATATCCTAGGGTTCATAGTTATCCGACGTCTAACTTTAGCTTAACAACAAACTCGAAGGAACCGGGCAAGTTTCAGATCTGGGTAAGAGTGCGTTAGTCAATACCTTTCGACAGGTTTTGGAACGCAGGCATGCTTGTCGGCAGTCAGAAGAAACTTGGGTGCTGACAGAGTTGTGAGGGCGGTTGACACTTCCCGGCTGCCCACACCGTGGAAGGCTATTTCTTCTTAAGGTACCTGAAAGAGATTTGTGTGACCGCAGAGCCCATCGGACATCTGCTTGAGGCCTGTCACACCCAGCCTTTTGAGTATGATTATTTTGTATTTTTGGGGCCGGATGAGCGAAAGGAAACGACAAGTGAACCAACACCGCCGGCCAGGCAGACCGTGGGGCGTGGTGGAGTGTGTTATTTTTGGGGCCGACCTTTTCTAACCCCCCCCCCTTCCACTGAGAAGGCAGCATCAGCTTGGCACTGCTGGTCATCCAAGGGAAACACCTTACTGCTGTCACACCCCATCCAGCTAGCAGCAGTACGACTTCGCCCTCAGACCCCCATCATAGTGTAGCAATTTACACTATAACGGTAACTGCTTTTCGTCTAACCACTACCCAACAGACCTTTCTGGTATGGTAGGACCTCGAGGGAACAAGCGTTCCACCAGCATAGCTCGTTGGGTCATTGTGATATGCAAGCCCAACCACCACGTCAAGGTAGCAGCTATCGGTCACTCCTCTTTCCTTTCTTCTCGTACTTTATATTTCTTTTGACTGCATTCACTTATCTTCATCCTTCACCTCACTACCTTTTTACTTGATGTGCTGATATGAGGTGTGGCAACTCGGACCGTTACGCAGTAATGCCTGGTCCTATGTTGATAATGATGATGATGATTGTCGGCGGCCACTGCTTGTCATATGTGTCGACTTGAAGACAGTATTTGACTCTGTCAACCGTAAAGTGTTGTGTCAGTCGGATTGCGAAACGAGTACGGAGCAAGTGTATTACCCTAATCGAAGTTCTCTACTCGAATTCACGCAGCCGTGTAACAGCTTATGTAGATTTGTCGTATGAATCGATGACAACCTTGGCGAATCCATAATACTATCACATGCATTTCCTCTTGACAGTTACGGTTATTTCAAGTAAATTCCATCTGGTTCTTATGTACCAAAAAACAGTTAGTGAGGCTATAGTAGAAAAGGACGGATCTGCGATTCACTCGCAAGGGAGACGACTGGAACAATGGGCAGAACACTTCGAGGAACAGTTTAACTGGCCTCCAGCCACGATTGCGTTGCCCGCTATCCAGTCGGATCCTGAATGGGACATAGAGATAGGTCCTCCAACACTAGAAGAAGTCGAGAAAGCGGTAGGTAACCTGAAACAAAGAAGGGCAGTAGGACCAAACGGACTACCTGATGAGGTATACAAGAATGGTGTTAAGGTGCTATTAGTCAGGTTAACGGAAGTGTTAGCTAGTATATCAGAATCAAATACAATCCCCTCTGTTTGGTCACTGATTATCCCAGTCTTCAAGAAAGCCAAGAAGTCCTTTTGTGATAACCACAGAGGAATCAGCCTGATGAACAGTGTCTAAGATCCTAGGTTCTATAATTCTCCGACGCCTGAGTGGAGCTCGGGAACAACAAGCCCGAGAAAACCAGGCAGGCTTTAGATCTGGCCGCTGGTGTATCGACCAAATATTCACACTGCACCAGGTCCTGGAACATAGGCATGCTTACAGACGCCCGACAATAGCTGTATTTCTCGACCTGAAGGCGGCATTTGACTCCGTTGATCGAGAAGTCTTATGGCAATGTCTGTCACTGAAAGACGTGCCTAGTAAGTACATCACCTTATTGAAAGCTCTCTACTCGAAAACTTGTGGGCATGTTAGAGCCTATGGTGAGTTGTCCAGGGAGCTATACTCATCAAGTGGTGTCCGTCAAGGATGCCCACTATTTCCATTCTTATTTAATTTTATCATAGATATTCTCATGGAGGTTTCCCTCTCGTCACCTAATTACACAGACGTTGGCCCAATCACAGGTGAATTTTCCTTAGATCTAGAATATGCAGATGACATAGTCCTGTTAGGTGAAGACACTGACAAGATGCAGAGTCTCCTGAACACTTTGAGTGGGAATTTGAGAATGTTTGGGATGCGATTTTCACCACCCAAATGCAAATTTTTGCTCCAGGATTGGTCTTCAGCGGTACCGCGGCTAACAATAGAGAGTGAAGTGGTTGAGTGTATTGACCACTTCACTTACCTGGGAAGTAGGATCAACCCCGGTGGGTTAGTTGCCGATGAGATTTCTGCACGGATACAAAAGGCTCGATTGACTTTTGCCAATTTGCGCCACCTATGGTGCCGCCGTGATATTCGTTTGTCTATTAAGGGTCACGTGTACTGCACAGCAGTCCGCTCTGTTCTGCTGTATGGCTGTGAAACATGGCTATTGAAAGTGGAAGATATAAAAAGGCTTCAGGTGTTTGACCACCGTTGCCTTCGTAGTATAGGCCGTATTCCGTGGTATCATCATGTGAGTAACGCAGAAGTCAGGTGTAGAGTTTTAGGGAGTAGAGGTAAATCAGTTGATGAGGTTATGAACCTTCATCGATTGAGATGGTTGAGACACGTACTACGTATGCCTAGTCACCGATTGCCTCTTCACACAATGTTGGCTGAGGTGGGTCCAGGCTGGAAAAAGGGTGGAGGTGGCCAGACTAAAACATGGCACCAATGCATGAAGTCTCTGACTGTTGGTTTAAGCCATGTAGGACGATGCAGACTAGGTAATTGGGGTCCACAGGACAAGAGGAACCAATGGTTGGAGACTCTAGATGATGTGGCTCAGAACCCAAGTCAGTGGCGCAGATGTATACACACATCATCCTCATCTTAACTACACTATGCCGAATCTCACCATTTTGTCACTCCTCTTTCCCTTCTTCTCGTACTTTATATTTCTTTTGACTGCATTCACTTATCTTCATCCTTCACCTCACTATCTTTCTACTTGATGTACTGATATGAGGTGTGGCAACTCGGACCGTTATGCAGTGATGCCTGGTCCTATGTTGATAGTGATGATGATGATCCAGTCCACCACTATCCACTACTTCAGGCCACTCAGATTTTATTTCTCTGCTCAAGTAACAAATAGCTGAATTTGTTTGGTCTCTGTAGATTGTCATCACTGTTCTCTGCCAATAGTATTCTTTTCTAACGGTATCTTTGACATTGTTGGTCTAGGCACTCGGTATGAAAGTGTGCATAAATTCGGAATCGTGTACCTCATAGTTATTTCGTTGCCGGTTTAGGTCAGAATGTTTTGATAAACCAGTATCTACACCAAGGCTAAAAATTGCTGTTCAGCACTGCTTTACTAATGAGTGAGGTATGTGATTCTTAAATGTGGGGATAGCCGTGTAGTTGAAAATATGCTTACTGTCTGTAATATAACAATAATGTAGCTCAACTCAGTGCAGGTGTCAATGTTATGGGCTATAAACCATACATTTGTGTTAGGGCTAGTGCAGCTGCTTGGTGACCCAGCTTAAGGTAGGTTGAGCAGAATTTTGAAGCCTAGATCGATTGCTTGGAATTCAAATGCTTAAGCTAATGAACCACAACTCTGGTGCTACTTGTACCTCTGGGTTTAGTAATGGAAAGTTTTGGGTTGATACTCAGAAGGGTAGGAACAATGGAAGCTATAAGGGTGAGCAGAATATAGGTTATGGTCATTATAGTATAAATTTTATTGTCGCAGATATAAGTATCCCATCAATTATGTAAGTAAAGCCCTTTAAATACCATCTGGATACCTAACTTATGACAAGCTTTTCCGTTAATCTATCAGGGCTGTCTTGCTAAACATTTCGATTTATAAGACAATGTAACAAGATAAACTCTGTACTGCAACCGTATTTATATGCTACACACGAATGATTAAACCTTGTCAGCGTTCTAGCCACGTAGTTCAGTTAATCAACCATATGAAACGAAGTATTTAAATATTGTTATCTTCATCTGGTTGACTGAGGTAGCAGAAAGCCTATCTCAGTGTATCGCATCATACAAACCCAAGCTCATAAATTCAAAGAATTTATGCGAATCAATCCATTTAGGGATTCAAAAATCCTATTTATGTTTTTCTGAAAACCCTGTAACAGCAATGCTACAATAAACTCGGAACCTGCGACTGCACTAAGGATTGGGTCGTCTGCTCACACGTTGATTCGGCGAAGGTGGAACGAGATGCACCGCCCATTTGTTATTTATGTTCATATCTCCACGAGTTACATCTTAAATATAATCAAAAATGTGTTCTGTCACCAACGAAGTGAATTCCGAAACCCATTCATTGGATGTAACCGCCAACTCGGGACCTATATGCCTACGCTAAGGTGGGGATGTTGTAGCAGTTTTTGACCGAAGGGAGTGCCAAGAGAGTATATAACGCTAATCAGAACTACGTAAACTCACCCAACCGTTCATTCGCCAAGGATGTCTACTGTCACCGTTCCCACTAAAGTTCACTGTAGACGTACTAATGGGCATAACCTTAGGTACTTATGACTTCACAAGGATTAACCTATTCCCTGAAGGTCATCTAGTTGATTTGGAGCCTCCAAGCTATATTTTCCTGGTAGACGAAAATGCTGACAAAATACACGATCTTCTGGACGTGCTGAGCAGAACTCTGAGTATGTTTGGCATGCACTTTTCATTTGTCAAATGTAAGACGATACTTCAGGATTGGTCTGCTGCTACTCCTAATTTGAGGATACGCAGTAAATTGGTTGGGGGAGTTGCATCAGCCCGAATAGGCTGGTCGCTGACGAAATCTCAGGATACAGAAAGCCTGTTTGGCACTTCCCAACCTGCGTTATCTCTGGTGCTGAATCTCAAAACATCTGACTACCTATTAAAGGACATGTATATTGCACTCCAACTCATTCTACCCTGTTATACGTCTGTTAGACATGGCCGTTAAAGTATATACTGAGAATATAGACTGTTGACCAAAAGTGTCTTCGTAGCCTTGCTCGCGTATGTTTATTGTCACTTGGAGGTAAAGTATCAAATTACTCAGTTAGAGATTACTGTACACAAAATCGGCATGGATTAAAAATAGGTTTTTCTCAGAAAACTGGGTAACATTCTTCGTCATGACATCAGCGACCACAGTTATCCTAATAAAGACTGAGCTACGACTGTTTCGTAATAAAACAACCATTTCATCCCTTGCCAGTACTTGCTAGATGTAAGATAAAGTGTACTACTACGCTGATTGTGAAAGATTCATTGATTTTTTGTAATTCGAAATCCCCAAATTTTCGCCTTTCCGGCTGGAGCCAGTTACGACTTGTGCTTGCCATACAGTTCTCATTCCACGCTCCGCCGTTATTAAGGTGATCACTGGGATGAATATTTTAGCTATCAAGTCCCTTAATTGGAGCGATGTGTTTAGGTATCCTTACAGACAATGATACTCTTGTTCGTAGCATGACTTTTTATACCATTTTATTCCTTTCAGGGCATATTGTGAAAAGCATCATATGAAGACTCTAAACACAGCAGACTTTGGAAAGGTTATGAAGCGCGCATTTCCAAATGTAAAGCCTCGGCGTTTAGGCCAGCGAGGCCAATCGCGGTAAGTCATATTGTTTTAATTTAACAGTTGCATAGACCAGCTAACCTTCAGAAAGTCTGGTATCTTATGTAGAAACCTTCGTTTGCGCTAAACAGTGAAAGCGTCGACCAATGTTTTCCATGTGGTATAATAAGAACCGTTTCACCTTCGCATTCAATTTTCTAAGTTCACTGATAATGATTAACATTTCCATGGTCTCAGATACTATTTTATATTGAGAGATAATCGGCAGTAAACTATTGGTCGTGGACATCTCATCCGATACTTTTTCTCAACCTCACGTCACTTATCTTGTGTTATGTATGCAACCTTACTAAACTAGTAGATAAAACCTTTTAACTCCACTTGAATAAACTTACTCCTTGGAAGACACCTGGTCGAATTGCAATGCATAAACACCATCATCCTATCCGACAAAGTACAGACTCTTCTGAACATCTTGAGCAGAAATATCTGTGTTCGGCATACGTTTTGCACCTGTCAAATGTAAAATGATATTTCAAGAGTGATTTGAAGCTCTTCCTAGTTTAAGGAGTAAAGTGGTAGAATGGGTTGATCACTTCACTTTCTTGGGAAGTCGCGTTGACCCAAATAGGTTGGTCGCTGACGAGACCTCAGTTTGGATACAAAAGGCCCGTTTATCATTTGCCAATCGGCATTGTCTTTAACGCTTATTGTCAAGATATCCAACTATTTATTACTGCACTGCATTTGGTCTTTCTTTGACCGGTCTAGGAGAGTGCGGGGTCTTCATAACGATTAGATTTAGTGTTTTAAAACTCTATGGTTTGACCAGAAATCGGTCACAATGATCCAGATGTATACGCTCCCTGTCATCTGCAAACACCTTAACTTTTTGTCCATCTGAATATCACTCATATTCTATTTACTTCCCTGCTTGCTCTTGTAAAGTGGAGTAATTAGAACAGATACACTTCTGTCCCAGTTTCAGATTGATCTATCTGTCTTGACATTTCACTTGATGGTCAAGCAAACATCTCACGAGTTACACAGGTGCTGTGATTTGGAGTGGAGAAAATGAGAGTTGTATTAAATTAGATAGGGATAAATGGTCAGTGTAAATGCTCAAAAGTTAAGATATCACAGATGGCACCTATCACCATCGTAATCGATTTTGAACCATTTCACCTAAATTCGTTAACTAGTGATTCCTAGCATCTCTACGACTTTATCAAGGAGAATCTGCTTCATACTCTTCTGGGGGTATTGGGTTCGATTATGCTGTATTCGTACCTAGGAAAAGATGCGTATCTCTCGAACCGGCGCTTTACGGAGCCTATCTTTTTTTTCTAACTCCTTCGGTTAAGAAAAGGTAGTATCAACAAGAAATACAACCAGCAATGCGACATTACCCTCCGATCCCCACTAACAAAAATATTTACACTCGTGGTAACTACTTTCATTCTTAAAATTATCCAACAGACTTTTTTGGCATTCTATGGCTTCAAGGAATAATCGTCCCAGCCAGCATCACTCGTTGAAGCATCGCGATGGGCCAGTCGTATCATAAGGTAATAGTGGCAGAGTTACTGCTAACGTGTCACCGCACCAGGTTTGTGTTCAAACAGACTGTCATTTAAGCGGAAATTAATTCTATGCATTATTTTTATTGAGTGATGTAGGTTGTTATTGTGAGTTAGACATTTGATTATCATCCATGCAACCATCGTTTCTAAATTCTTGCCTTTGGTGTAATGTCATAAAGCACTGTCTCTCTCCATACTATCATTGTAGCTTAGCACGACGTATGCATTTTTATCTAGATGTCTTTTTCTTTTTAAAAGTTATGGTTACTTCAGATGTTTGTCAAATTTAGGGTTTTACTTCACTGCTATACTCCTGGCAGCTGAAGTTTTATTAATTATCCGTTTGACAAGTGCTATAGAACCAAATCTTCAAAGTCAGTAGTTTTCAGTACCGACATCTGAAAGAATGTGTAAGAAACAACTCGTGTTAAGCCTCATAAATACAAATGATGAATATGTGTGACCGATGTAACATATTGAAAGCCTATGCGATAAATTTGGAGGTTTGGCTTATTAGTTTATATCCTCGGCTTTTATTCACTGGGTTCTAAGCTTAAACCACATTTTGCTTACCTCAGTTAGGACAACTGGACAGTATCAAAACTCTTAGTGCAGTAAGTTTGTTCAAAACCTGTACTGGGTAGCTGAGTTACAGTACTCGTACATTTCTTGATTTTACTGTTTTCCGGATAGTTTATGTCTTCAAATTTCTGTGTATTTGTGAGAAAGGTTATGCATGGAAACTTAAGGATAGGAATTAACTTAACATGGAGAAATCTGCAGCTGATGAAGAAGAAATTAGAGAGCTGTTGATTACTTGAAAACATGATTGAGTTCACGTTTATAATCACAAGAGTAGTCAACAGATGTTGGCAACACTCATAAACAAAATGAAGGCACTCTAGAAATCAGTACTTGAGACAGCTATAGATCTATCGAATTATTTAGTAACTGTAGTGAAAGCTAGTTTTCTGTAGTGTACATTAACAGGATCACTTAATGTTTCCAGCACAACTTGATAAGCTTAATCATATCACCTGATAATGAATAGTAACTGTACCGCAGTGTCCATTTTACTTAGCAGTTAACAGTAGACTCTGCTTTATTTGTGCATCGGCTTGTAAGGCACGTGAATTGGTTATCCTAGATATTTCAAACAGCTAAACAATATTATTTACTATATGACGTTTCGAACACAATTTATTGGTCATAGTCGTATAAGAAGTAACTTTACAAATTTAACACTTCCTATGGTTCTATTGCTGCTCCTTCATTTGTGGTTTAGGTAGTGAGATTTCCCAAATATCTGTAATAGGTGTCGAGTCTTTCCTATTTCTTGTGCTCGGTGGTGATTTGGTGAGCAAAGTCCCAGTTACCAACCTTTCCCTCCATCCTAATTATTTTTCTAGGATCGTCACTTTGTTCCATCCTATCCTAGATATGGTCATGTTTCGTACTCTGTTATTCAAGACGATCCCAGTCGACTGCTATGTAGCTGATTTCACAATCGTTTCAGGGAATTTGGTGAACTAAATTATTGTCTAACATTCTCTTCCGCACTTTTCTTCTGTCTTTTCAGTGCTAGGACATATTATCCTTGTATATTCAGGTGAATTAAATGTTATTTATACTTTAAAAATGACATCTTCAGGTTTCAATTCATTAGCGGCTCCATTGAAGTTGAATTACTCTCCAACACTCATTTATGTTGAACTTAAAAATTCCAGTTACTACGGCTCTACAGACAGACTGAGTGACCGAAGAAACAACGTAGAACCTAGCACACAAGTACATCGGCTCAAGTTGGCACTTTACAGTAGTACACAAAAAACAGGTGGATAGGAAAACAACGACTTCAAAGTAGATTAAGTAGTACGAGAAGAAACAAACTGAAGATAAAGGTTAGTGCGAATATTCAAGCTCTAGACAAAGAAATGAGCTCAGCTCTGACCAGACACATTTAAAACGATGGTGCAAACTGAAGAAATCCTATCTCAAGCATAATTATCCCTGGCTTCTAGTCTTTAATGTTCAAGCAGAAGTACACAAAAGCTGAAGCGGTCCTATGGGATTGCCAATATCTCCAAATATGGCAGATATTTATTTATGGATAGTTAGGAACAAAAGACTTAAAATATTTAGTCTTGCTGTTAAATCCAAGAAATATGTAGACAATACATTTACTGTGTTTTAATTCAGAGTGTATCAATAGATTTTCGATCCAAATTCAATGCTAGATGCATTTCAGTTGACTAATGAATTAGGGATTGATGGAAAACTAGCTATGTTGGACTGCAGGATAAAAAGAAAAGATGGTTGCCTAGACCCTAGTGTCTACAGAGGACCCGCACATTTGAGTCGAGATAAGATACAAGACAAACCTTAATAGACAGTAATTGGTCTTGTAAAGTAACCGAAGGACGCATAAGTTTTAAGAAGGAGATGAGTTGAACTCACAGGGAATACACATAAAGTGGCAATACTCGAAACCTCCACGATGCTACCGTATTAGGAATGTATCACCTTAAGTTTACACGGTAGTCTTAATAGAGTTGGAATTAAAGTGGTGTACAAATCCACAAACTCTGAAACGAGCTTTGTAGCCTAAAAGATCCTGTAAACCACACACTAGACGCGGCAATTTAGCTCACCAAACTCCATGAAACAATTGTGAAATCAGCTACATAGCAGTCGACTGGGATCGTCTTGAATAACAGAGTACGAAACATGACCATATCTAGGATAGGATGGAACAAAGTGACGATCCTAGAAAAATAATTAGGATGGAGGGAAAGGTTGGTAACTGGGACTTTGCTCACCAAATCACCACCGAGCACAAGAAATAGGAAAGACTCGACACCTATTACAGATATTTGGGAAATCTCACTACCTAAACCACAAATGAAGGAGCAGCAATAGAACCATAGGAAGTGTTAAATTTGTAAAGTTACTTCTTATACGACTATGACCAATAAATTGTGTTCGAAACGTCATATAGTAAATAATATTGTTTCACTATGCAAAATATCCAGTAAACAACCGCTAGTGGCTAGGTTTTACTTGTACATGTAATAATACATGTGAAGTGGGTTTATAATTTACCGATTTTTCACTTGATTCGTTGTAATGGTATTTTTAATCTAAAGGACAGCGAATCCCTAACAATTAGCTAGCATTCACCCCAGACTGACACCAGCTAAAGAACCATCAAAAACCTGGGAGCAATGGACAGTCATTTCGTCCTAATATAGGGCTCCTCGCCAATACGGACCCATGACCCAGGTGGGAAGCAGAATCCCCATTAGCTTCAAAGAGTACCTTAACAATAAGCCTAACTTCCGGCAAATTCAAAAATCACAATTTTGTGTTTTTCTAAGCTTATTGGTTTACTTAACGGAATCACTACCACACCTGGCAAACCCCTTTGGTTGTTGAGGTTGTCTGCTGTCGCTTCAGCATTTTTCATCGTTTCGATATTTAACCACAGGTGTCTTGATCACCAGAACTATCCTCTAAAGAATATCGACATTTCTCAAGCATTATATATATATATATATATATATATATATATATATATATATATATAGGCTTTGTTCAGTCTGAACTTGAATCACGTTATCTGTAGTCCTACGTGACCCTAAATCATTCTTTCATATTTTTATTCATCATTCTCCAGTAAGAAATTTATGTGAAACCTTCGCACCACGATGCATTCAAGCTTTAACGTTTATAGAAGTGGTCTAGTCTGACTTTGCTCAGAGGGTGGGCGCTATAGTAAATCTATTATGGCTGTCAAAGGCACTTTAATTTCTATAAAATGGATGTTTGCGACCACCCCCTGAGCCAAGTACTACCCGATTGGCTGTTTTTAATTTTGTTCTCTTTCCTGCCTCATGTCGTATGAATTTAATCCAATTCATATTTTCTATCCGGGCAATGTGTAACGTTTATTCTATGGCAGTTGTCTGTTTATGTACATAATTCATAATGCGACCGTTAAGAAATGTTATTCAGTTTTACAATCATATCACTATTACAGCATATTAAACTGTGTTCAGGGGCGATAAATACTAGGATTGATTTTTTGTATGAAGCCATTCTAGCTACTTCAAGTGTGGTAGACTTTCGTCATACATTTTTCGGTTAAGTCCACTGATAACATTTGTTCTTGATGCATTAACTGTCCACGCCTTTGTTTCCAGAGATGCATGTCCTATGCATGTCATAAAGTGGTTTCAGTGTTTCATGTCTGATTTTACATCAACTGACATCTCTTTTGTGACTGCTGTGGAACCTGTAAAGATGTAACTTCCTTTACTGTGCTTACCGCTTATTTCCAACGTCCGTATTTGTACTGTGCTTTTTTCAAAATTTCTGTTTTCTGTTGTCAATGAGGGCTTCTGGTTGTTATTTATTGTCCAACCATGTTTTCGAATGAATGCATAGCCAAACTGGATAGTCTGATGAGCGTAAACATCGAGTTGTGCTTTTTGTCACTCAAAAAATTCTGTAATCTCATCATTCACCAAGATTCTTTGAATACTTTAGCACATGTTTGTGTAATTCAGTGGTGAAACTTTGTTGACCTGTAAGAATAACGTTTCTTTGGAGTAAGGAATAAATGGAGCGCGCTTTTTCGATCTATGCAAGAACGTTTAAGTTGGGTCCATTTATGTCGTTTTCAGAGCTTGTTACCTCCAAATCCAAATATAAACATTGGAATATACAACTACATGTCTGCCACACAAGAGTTTTACTATTTTATCTATCACTCTTACTGCAAAGTGAGAGCATAGAAAAAATGTGAAAGTAAGTTTAGCTTGTAAGAATGTAAGCAACTGATTGTAGTGAAACCTCCAGAAATCTTAAGGCAAATATGCCTATCTTCTGCATCCATTGCTTTTCGAACCTCATAATATATTACTCTATATTTCAGCAATTCATAGGTCCCCAATAATTCTTCAAAACAATACTTATTTGAACGAACATATGTTTTCAGCAGCTCTTCAGACTATAAAGCTCTGCTTCCATGAGCGTTATGACATGAAAGTTAGTTCAAGGTATCAATGAAATCACAGTTGGGATGCCAGTTAGATATTGGACAGAACTACTCAATATGCTCTACACTGTCTGTACAATAAGATGAGCAGTACGTAAATTACTATTGAAAATTTTCGCCACCCTGCTCGACATTCCTGTTGATTAAATAACTTGAAGTCGCGCAGCTACTGACGCGCATATTGTCTAACTACGCACCTCTGGGTACTATAATTAATTCAGCGACCAAGTCTGTGGTCTTTATTATGTTATTTCCAAGGAAATTTCGGCTGTTTGTTCTCTTCGAACTAATCAATCAATAATCACAATCATTGACTAAATCCTTTTTTAGGTTTCCATCTCCATAGTTTCTACTCTTGGAATATGAAGGAATTACTTGCTCCGGTTGTTTTTGTAGCGTCTTGTGAGATGTTGGTTTCGACCTTAAATCACTTCAGATAATCATGCAACTGGATTATAATTCGGTGAGTTAGCAAACAAAATGCAAACTCACTGGATGATGAAGCATCTGAGGGAAAACAATCATCTTAGACATCAAGATAGACTAATTTTTATTTGTTCAGGTTAACTGTCAAGCATGCTTAATAGTCAGATTTAGTGATACTTTATTAGCATTTTCATGTCCTTACATTCTCATTATTCTCGTGCTGATAGCAATCCTCTATCTCAGAGCTGGATAACTCTTTAAAACAAATGCTTATACTACTACGTGTTTATGACATTTCTTTCCAACTCAAGTTGGTTGACCTAATGTCTTTTCAGAGTGTAAATGGATAGTAGCTGTTTTTCAGCCAAATTCAAGCAAACGGTGATTAGCTGTCACGACCGTTGCCCGAAGCTTTTAAAAACCCTAAGTGCCAATACAGAATTTCGGGAACTGTGGTAGTGTTTAACTGCATGTAAGTTTTTTAGATCGACCTTTGAAGGTCACTCCTACGACTGCTGAGATGACCAGTAACTTTCCGTTGTTCTGTACAGAGCTATCCAATCCTCATAAAACCTGAAACTTGATTGATTGTTTTAGCAGGTGTCAAGGTGGCCTTCAAAGTCGATTGACTTTAAAGGCCACCTAGCAACTGCTGAATAAACTAGTCAGGCTTCGGTATTTCTTCCGCTAAAGTACTTTTTCATAAAATAAAGGAATGTAATTGGCTGTCGCATCAGTTGCTCGGGTGGTCTTTAAAATCACCATCAAAGTCACTGGTTTTTGGGGGTGACTTTACAGGTCACCCTAGCAACAACTGAAATAGCCTATTAGATTTCTTTATTTTGACTTGGAAGGCAGATTTCATGAAGTGAAGACTCCTAAGTAGTGATCTCAATGGTTGCTTGGGCGATCTTCAGAGCTTTACTCATTTTCTTTGATGACGCATCACCTGAGGAGTGACTCTTCAACCCACCCCAGCAACTACTGAGATAACCAGTCAGGTTACGGTATCCTGTTTGGGAAGGCAACTTTTTATAAAATAGAGAAGCCAAGTTGGGTTAACCCATCAGTTAGTAGAATGGGCTTTAGGTCACTTCATTCCACCTGAGAATGTGAACTCGTTCACCATGACGTATATGATTTGCAATGTTTGTAAGGAAAAGTAGGGCTGAAAAGATTTGTGAATTACTGAGTAGCTTCAAAACCACCCTAGCAACTGCTGAGATGACCAATTACTTTTCTCTATTCCATAAGAAACTACCTTTCCGCCTGAAATCCCAAAATCCGATTGGTTATTTCAGCGTTTGCTAGCTTACTTAGGCGACAATCGTGTCCTTGTTTTTACCCAACTAAGCTACATCATCCGCGCACTCTTCTTTTCTGGACTAGTTATGTTTTAAAATGTTCTAAGTTATTTCCGTCACACCATTAAATAGGTTTTCCACTAGCAGGTCGTCATAACTTGTAAACGTTTTAAATTGGCATCACTTTTTTTAATACCTAAAATATGTTTCCATTTTTAGCTTGACATTTTAAGACACTGAGGAGTTTAGTTTTGTAAGGCTTCACATTTTCCATTTGTCGTCTGTTGCACAAAATAACCGATATCATGAGTGCATCAGATCTACAGCTTTTAAAAGATTGCCACCTGATCCTGGTCAGTTTTCACTTCGCGTTTTTTTAATTGAGCAGGCTTAATTATAGTGTCATAATGTACGCAACGTGATACACCTTGTTTGGAATGTTGTTTTTGCTTGCTAACTGTACTAAATTCCACTTAAGTTGCATACATTTTCCAGGTTGTTTGAAATTGTATTCAGTGGAATCCAGACTTCACGTTTTTATCTCAAAGAATTTTGTGTACATTTACTTTTTCTGTTTCTTGTATTTAAGGTATTGTTATGGGGGCATGCGTAAAAAGACTGAAATACAACCACCATTTCTACCTGATCTCACCAATGAGGCCCTTGGAATTACGTTTCAAAATATAACTGGTCGGTCTACTACGTCACCTGGCAGTAGTTCTGGGGGGAGTTATGAGGCAGGTTCTCAGAGGAATATGTCATCCAGTAGCCCACTAATTCGCCTCTTAAAGTCTAATGGGTCTGATGTTGATTCGAGCAGTTGGGCTGATGATCCATCCATACGATCTGCTTTGGGAATTCGTGGTTCTGTCGTGGCTGATGTGGCCCATATTCTTCTGGAATACGCTCACCAAGTATTTGGAGTACAATTCAAATCGTTGTTTCAACTTGCACAACACTTAGTTGCAAACCGTTATGTTAACTCCAGATCAAAGCATGCTTTTGCCCTAATCGCTCATGCAGCTAACCCTCCTGTGTCGTTTTCACCACCACCCTCCACAGCCCTTGCTGAAGTTCTTCAAAAAGGTTGGTTTACTTACATATTTTGCTTTTGAAAATACTGTCAATACGTTGTATCGCGGTATTACCGTTTTTTCAGTCCTAATTATCAATGTATGGTTCTATCGTATCTTCCTCTTCCTAGTAGTTTTGTTGCTTTGAGTTTGTTGTTTTCAACATAGAGCTTTCAGCTGCGCTCTAAGCATTGTCTTCATTGTAGCTTGGCGGTTAAGATTATAGAGCCTATTTTTCATGAATATTTATTGAGAATTTCTTCTGAGTTGAACAGTATACTCTTCTTGATTAGTTTATAATTGTAAAGCCAGCTTCTTTCAAATTTACTCACTTCATTGATTCTTGACCAGCTCTTCCTCCATATTTTTGGGATATCTTTGTTATAAAGCATTTTCACCAATCACACTGCCATCTACAGGATGGTTACTGTTACTTATATGATCATTTCAACTCAATCTTGCAGATAATTTTGTTCTAGGACACTAATTTTCGGGAACTATCCACTTCCCCAGGTTAAAGTAAATGGGATGGAATGTAAGCCCAAGACTCTTTGCTTCGTAGTTAAATACTCCATCTTCATTCAGCTGTATGAAATTTGCTGGAAACATCTATTGGTCCAGTAAAGGTATGTCGTGGATGTCAGCATACTTTTATTAAAGTACTTGCTAGTTGCACGCGCTTCTCTACATAAGGACTGTGCTTTCTGGGTGAACGTCACACAAAGATCTACAAGGATTTTCGAATCACCATCATAGTTTTGCTAGGTAAGACAAAACTACTTGGTGTTTCATTCACTTTCGGTTTCGTTAATTAAAGAGTTGACTGCAAAAAAATACCCTCAAAAAAACCAGTTATTGGTTCTGTATTCACTGTTAGTATTTCGTAGCCCCGAGTTAAGAAATCATATATCCTGTCTTGAATTGTCACACCAACTGATGCACCTTTCTTCCAACTAATTATTGGGCAATGACTTCAAGTCGGTTACCCGATTACCCCTTATACGTGCCAATCACAACCGTTATTTTAAATTAATTCACATTTCTGCCGAACGGACGAAAGCTTTTTTTGTGTAGAAACTTCCTTGAATGCATAACATTTCAATTTCCAATATAAAAGATATCGTCTTTCTCGTATTCACTTTTACCACATCCATCCACACCTGTTCAATCGTTTGCTTACATGGATAGACACAGGTGTATTAGTTTTATTTTGTGCCTATTTGTCACGTGCAACCTTAATGTATAAATGTCCTAATTTATATGCGAGGATCTATTTCTTTGCATAAGTAAATAGTTCATATTGTATTGCACTGTTGAACGGCCAACCTAACTTTGTGTTCTGATATTTACATTGTACAAACATGAAACATAGATGTATCCATATCTTACTGAAAGAGGAGTGTCTCGTCGCTGGCAATCAATAGGATAATTTTCACAGTCATGAGGGTTATTAACTACCTTCTATACTCTACTCATTGTTCACATTTGTTTTTTACAGCCAGTCAGCTTACGGTTGAAATTATTTCATCTTCATATACTTCAAGTTCGATGCAATACTTAGCCGTGTTTTTTCCGTCTCTACGCATCTAACTTTTAAACAATGGTTCATGGGTTCGAACCCGGCTCCAGTTGCTGATGTTCATACAACCAAATAGCTTCATAAGCCCTCACAATAAGTTTGGTTTATTGCATACTGCACGAACGTTTATGCAGTTTCCGAGTGGTTTTCAATCCAGTTTTTTTAGCTCAAGTCAATGCATATTTTTCAACTACCTATTGCTTTGTCTTAAAAGAAATGCTTCATCACCTACTTAGGAAATATTAACATACCTTTCTAACCATTTCAAAACGCTCACTCATGGCCATATTTTCTTACTGCTCATATAATTCCCTATGGTTCCTAACTACACCTTACACTACTTTGCTAATTTCAACAAACCTACAATGATCATATAAGACAAATTCTGAATTCATGTTGCGCCGCAAATGGTATGTGCATGGTCACAGAATCCCACCATCTTTGTAAAAATGTGGAGAAGGATAAGAGAATAGTTAGTTTTTGCCTCACCACTAACATTGGTTTCAATGGGTTATTATGTCCTTCTTTGTTCTAAGGCTTGCTAGCTAGTTACTACTTGTTTCTCGCTAAGGTTGTCAAGTCTGTAGTCTTTCTACATTTATCAGTTATGAAATTTTATCTACATTAATCAGACTTTTATTGTAATCAAACTAGCAACTTTTCACGCTTGTAAAATCAAAATACATAAGTGATAATACCAGCTATTTAAAGCTAGATGTTTGAAACCAAAATCCGTCGAAGTCTTTTGTTCATCCTCTTTGGTTACTTAATTTTGTTTTTGTAAACACAACACATTTTCCAATCCTAATGGATCGTTTCCAGACCTAGTAGGGAATTTATAATTATCTTAGATACCGTAGGATTTCATTGGCCTATGAGCTTCTTAATCGAGTGAATCTAGAGGCCACCATAACAGCCATTAAAATAACCAATCCGGTTTCTCGATTTTGGGTAGCAAGGTTTTTTTAAGCGTAAAATAAACAAATCTAATTGACCATTTCAGTAGCTATCATGGTGCACCTTAAAGTCACCCGTCTCAATCATCATAGCAGTTGATATGGATGATACAGTCTAAGTTTAGCTGTGGGTGGTACGACGCATAACTTAGCTTTAAAAATTCCGTTTGGAATGTTATTGTCATGCGAGTGACTCTGAAGGTCAGCCTAACAACAACTGAAATAGCTCATTAAGTTGTTTTTTTATCTGAAAAGACAGATTTTCACAAAATGAAAAAGTCTAGTTTGTCCTTTTACTTGTTGTCAGGGTGGTCCTTTTTAGATCACTCACAGTATCGAACAGAAATGTTGAATCTGGGTCATCTAATGATGTATGCACAAAGAGAAACAAGTAGCAAACATATCATGCTAACCCGAGTGGATAGTGGTCACACATACAAAATTTGATTGGTCAAGCATTCAACTGGTTATTACTCTTATTTAGCGATTGTGTGAGGAACAGTTAGGCTGCGATATACCGTTGAGTTCAACGTGGGTTTTCTGCTTTTCTCTCTTAAACTGATGATATTACAAGATTTCATTATTCTAACTGCTTACCTCACAAAGGTATACAATAAGTTTACTCAGTATGCAACACAGTGATGCGGTATTATTAACTGCATGCCACCTCGACCACAATTTTGATGCTCACTGGTTTAGGTAGCTGACTATTAACCAGTGGGTCACGTGTTCGAACACCGCACACCTACCGAAGTTCGGGCACCCAGGTAGTATTATTAGTCTTGACACAACAGGTGTAGTTCATTGCCTTCTGCACGAATGTGCAAAAAGTTACTGAGACTATTTCGATTTCGTTTTCGCGTATATTCGTATTGAGGCAAGCATACCTGTCTGATTTGTTATTGTAAACAAAACTTGTCGAAAAGCAATGAATTGTGTTCGAAATGTCGTATCACTTTTCAGTGGACTTAGCTAATACTGAATCACAGTACACCGCAAAACCCACTTTCTACACGTACTGTCAGATATAATACGAATTAATATTTGGAGCTGTAAAATGAGCACTTTGTCTGAGTAAACTATTTCAAAAATACCCCTGTAGCACCAATTATAAGTTGTTCAATATCAACTTGTTTTTTACAATTGATGTAGAATAATTTTCAAGTTCGTATGAATGTTGTTGCAAACTGTCTCTAGAATGATCTATGTGGAAAATTAGTTCCCTATATATACTTATCAGAAATAGTGCTTGTTTACTCTGTTAACAATTACAAATAGTTTGTTTATTGAGACAATAATAAAATTGGTCGAAGTGGGGAAAGTCTATGAACAAGTCTTACCGGTGGCCGACACTTGCTACATTTCTTGACCTGAAGGCGGCATTTGACTCTGTTGACCATGAAGTGTTGTAGCAGTGTCTGACTGTGGAGGGAGTATGGAACAAGTATATGTTAATCAAAGTTCTCTACTCGAATTCACACAGGCGTGTAAGGGCTTATGTTGTTGTCATCTGAATCAACGACAGCTAGTGGTGTTCGCGACGGATATCCACTGTCACTGTTCCTACTTAACTTCGTCGTACTAATGGACATAACCCTAGGTACATATGACTTCACAGGGATTGACTTGGAGTATGCGGATGATATTGTCCTGTTGGGTGAAGACAGTGACAAAATGCCAGGGTCTTGTGAACGCGTTGGGCAGAAACCTGAATATGTTTGGCATGTGTTTCGCTGGCATCTGTCAAATGTAAGATGATCCTCCAGGACTGGTGTGATGCAAGTACTCCCAGTATTAATGGTAGAAAGTGAAGTGGTGGAATGTGTTGACCACTTCGCTGAGTTGGGGAGTTGCATCAACCTTAACAGGCTGGTTGCCGGTAAAATATCAGTCCGGACACAAAATGCCTGTTCGGCACTTGCCAGCTTGCGTTTCCTCTGGTACTGACTCTTGAGACATCCAACTACCTATTAAAGAACTAGTATATTACACTGCAGTCCGTTCTGTCCTGTGTTATACGACTGTGAGACATGGCTGTTAAAAGTAGAAGATACAAAGCAACTACAACTTTTTGACTGTGTCTCCGTAGCATTGCTTGCATGCGCATGATGGGACCATCTTGTGAGCAGTGTTGACGTCAGGCGAAGGTTGATTGCTGAGGTGGTTGTGAAGCTTAGTCGATTGAGATAGCCTGGACATCCACTGCACATGCCGAGTCATCGCCTACTTCGACGTGTCATGCTAGGGTAAGTTGGATTAGGTTGGAAGAAGGCTCACGGTAGTCAGACCAAAACGTAGCACCAGTCGATGAAGTGTCTTACTGTTAGTCTGAGCTGTTTGGGGAGATGTAGACTTCCTGGTTGGGGTTTCCGAAACGAGAGGAATCAAAGGTTTAGGATTCTTAGTGGTACGGTTGAAAATCAGTCACAGTGATGCAGATGTATTCACTTCTAAGCATCTAAAGCTTGAATATTTTTATTAGTCTTTATCTTCAAATCGTTTCTTTTGTCACACAACTTTGTCTACTTTGACATCACTTTTTCTATGCACCTTTTCTTTGTATACTACTTTCAAGTGTGGCAACTTAAGCCGGTGCACCTGTGTACTAGGTTTCACGTTGATTTTGTCAGTTAGTCATAAACAAACTTCTTACCCGTTTAATTACTCCTTTCGGTTTCATAATCCAGGCGCTGTGAAGTCAGCATTTGGTAAAATCCGAAATGGACGTCAGAATTCAGCGACTAGTGATGCATCATCTTATAAAGCGGAATGTGCAAAGAATGAAGGTAAGTATTGCTTTCCATTTATTTACTTTACCACGGAATGATGAGTACAAGAGGATCATTATTCATATTAATAGTACTGTATTAAAATGTAATTTATGTTTTCATTCATTTGAATAATAAGACATAAATTGGTTCATTTCCATCTACCACCTTGCACATTATTTCGAATTATCATAGTTTTGAGAGAAAAGAAACAGTTTTCGTCTTCAACCGATAACAATCTCACATTTCCGCTAGTCTTGCTAGTTGTCGCCTGCGACATAACCTTGTATTTCGCCCTTTATAGCAACACTGAATCCATTTTAAGCAGCATAAATTTAAGTTGTCATTAGAATGCAACAATATAACCTTTTGCGTGTATCGTAAGTCCGGTATTAGAAATTCTATGCCTTTCGTAACTTGACTAAGTACTTTCTTAACTGGACGAGGAATAATGTTTGATAGTGTTTCTTCAAAAAGATTTCTTCTATTTGCCAAACAGTTGTTACGTCATAGTGGTCTTCTTAAAGTCGTTTCTGATAATTTTAATGATTGCGTATATGGTGGTATTCACTCGTAATCATGCAATTGTCATCACCACTGTTGTCCACCAGGGATGCTGGCTGTCACCGTTCCTGATGAACTTCACAATAAATGCAATAAATAGGCACTTGAATATACTTACTCTCTGGAGGGTATCTGGTTGAATTGAAATGCGTAAACACCATCATCGCGTCAGGCGAAGACGCTGACAAAGTGCAGATTCTTCTGAATATCTTGAGCAGAAATATCATTGTGTTCGGCATACGTTTTGCACTCCCAAATGTAAGATGGTGTTTCAAGACTGGCCTGCAACCACTTACAGTTTAAGGATGAGGAATGAAGTGGTAGAATGGGTTGATTGCTCCACTTGCTTGGGAAGTTGCATTGGGCCAAAATCGGTTAGTCACTGACAGAATCTCAGCTCAGATACAAAAGGCCTTCAAGGCATTTGCCAACTGGCGTTATCACTGACGCTGACTGTCGAGATGAGATATCTGACTACTTTTTACTGCACTTCAGTCTCCTGTCTAATCATATGGCTGAGAGAATTGGTCGTTGAAAGTACAAAATATTAAGAGACTATCGGTTTCCCACTACAGGTGTGTCTTCGCAGCATTGAGCAGTGTTGAGTATAGGCGGAGAGTCCTAAGCAAGTCAGTTGATGAGGTTGTGTCCTTCCATCTACTGAGGAGGTGGCTTGGACGTGTGCTTTAGATGGTAAACCCCTGCCTATTTTGACGTCCAATGTTACCCGAAGTAGGACTGGGTTGAAAGAAGGCTTGGGATAACCAAACCAAGGTGTGACACTAATCCATCAATTCTTTGACTGTCATTCTAACCCGTATAGCAAAGGAATGTGTAGACAGCCTGTTTGGTGTCCTTGAGATGATGGGAATCGACAGTTGAAGATCATGGGTGATATGGTTGAAAACCAGTCACGTTGGTGCAGATGTATTCACTCTTTGATATCTTCTACAGTACGAACATGTTCTCTAACTTCCAGTCTCCAAATCCTATCTTCTCAAGCATTTTATTTTCTTCAATATCACTCGCTTTCTATCTATTTGTTCTTTATGTGCTGCTATGAAGCGTGGTGATATGAACCTATCCACTTTTGTACTAGATTCTTCGTATATTTTTTCTGTCTTATCGTATCTTATTTATTCGATTAATTCACAACTGGATGCCATCTACTCTGCATCTGATGATTTATTGTCTCCTTCCATGCGCATTGTAGTTTACGTTACTGTTTGGATTACATAATTGTTTATTCAGATTCTGCATTTAGTCTAGTACGGTTGGTCGACCCCAAGGTTCAGACATTTATCGTAGACTGGATTATTTCTTGGCATATCAGTACTGTTTATGATAATTGAAGTGTTGTAGCTCTGGTTTCGGCAGTCTGTTCATCGCAGTACGTGGATATTAATAATCCAGGGTTTTCTCTATTACGCTGTAATTACCACTGTACTAACCTATGCCTTTTCTACTAACTGCATTTTTTTTTCCGAATTACAGGTTTCCATACACCTGGAACTACTAATAATGGCTCTCTGGTCACCGCAATTCCCCGATCAGCTTTATCAGATAACAGGCATGTGAATCTTGCCACATCTAACTCAAATAATATGCATAGTCATGGGATGCAGTCACTTGCTGTATCTTCTGCTGCTGATAACATTTCTGTTCAAATGCCTCATTGCACCACTCCCCAACGTAGCAATGCCAACAGATTATATGAGCCAAATGCTAGTGGTGTAGGCTCATACACTGCTGCCGCTTTGGCATCGCCCTCTGCATTACAATCTTCCAATCAGCATTTATCAAATTACTCCTTCAATTTTACTCAGGTACTTGCAATGTTCTATTTTAGTGCTAGCATACATTTTAAGAATTTTAATTTCCTTTGAGATTCGTGCAACTAAAGCAATCACTTTCGATTCATGCTTTTATCAGGATAGATATATTCATTTAAACAAAGCAAGAAGAACGAAATTAGCAGAATAAGATGATATTCTGTTTCACGAATACTCTTCAGCTGCATGCAATCTAAAAGTGCGATGGTCATTAGGACATAAGATATTCCGAAATTAGGAAATCAATAATCTTAAGTTGTACAACAAAACCACTGATAATTCATATAACCTATCAAAAAATTAATTGTACAAAAGTATGAAATGTAAGAAAGGAAAAATAATAAATAAATAACGAGTTATGTGATGAAAGTGAACATAGTCATCATGGAAGTGAAAGATTTACTACACTCCTTCTGTAAGCAAAAGTCAGGTTGAAAGCGTTTTATTGAAATCACTGTCACAAAACGCGGTAATCCAGGCTCGAGGTTTCAACCAAATGCCCTGTATCTACGAGGTTTCTGGGAATGACACTGGTATAGAATTCAACTTCCTTTCAAGCACAGATTCTCGGGGATATGCTCAGCGAAGTGAATCGACGCCCTCCTACCAGTCCTTCTAATGTACTTGCTACCGCTCATTGTCTTATGTGAGCATAGGTATATGTTTGTGGCACTTAACTCTATGCTATTCACTCAAAAATACAAAGATGTTCAGAAGAATCTGCACTTTATCAGCGTCTGCTTGACGGAATAATGGTGTCTGCAATTCGACCAGATTCCCTATGAGGAGTACGTAATTCCAGGTGAAGTCGCAGTTATAATGTTATGTCTACTAGTTTCATAAGGTTGCAGATATAACACTAGATAAATGAGGTGAGGTTGTGAATCAGTATTGATTGAGTTGTCTACAGCCATTAGTTCACTACTGATTGTCTCCAAATAAAATATTGTCTGGCATTTTTGTAGAGAGATGTGATCGATGAACCTTCGTTTATGTCTGAAATATCCCCAACTTTCTTGATTGCAATGTCTTCGAAGTGCAGTCAGATGTCATAGCATTGTGAACACTTTTTCTTGTAATATGAACTAGATAGATTGGCGATTTAGACCAGTGTGACACGACTCCCTCTAATTCCCATATGCCAGCTAATCCTTCTGTTACACTTCTCAACAGTTTTCTACCTCCTTCCCTAAAAATATCTGATGGTATACTGTCAGTTTTGGAACAGCTGTCTCAGCTTCAAGGAGAGTTAAATGACCGACATCTACGTTTGATTGAGGTCCAGTCTAGATACTGAGTAGTTAAAGCGTTACTGTACACCAGTTTGGCTGTTTTCCGAAGTGTTCCACGTAACATTCTGGTCGCATATTCAGAAAGGTCACAGATTCATCCTTTTAACATTAATTTTCGTCTTCTTGCCGCTATCTTTAATAATCCGAAATAACTATCGTGTATTACACAGTACCGTTTCCTCCTCCATCTCTCTCGCTTTCACCACCTGTCGCTTGCTATCATTGCGAAGACTCTTAGTAAATTTACGTCTGAGCTGATTTTTCTCTTTATTTGGAATCAGTTTTCTCTCACTAATCAGTTCGGATGACGTTGTAGAAATCCATTGACGTTTGCGAATTTTAAGATATAGATTACTATTCCTACAGCAGAACAAATATCGCACCAAGTTTCCTCAGCGTGAGCATCATTGTCATGTTCCTTCCTAAACGCAAACTTGGCGTCCTCATCTTCCAGTAGAGCACGATAGGCTTTACTATTGCCTTTTTCCTGCGACCAGTAAGATGCATACATACATGACCCCGTGCTAACCCGTGATCGGAGTCTGAACAGGTACTCAAGAAAGAGCACCAATCCTCCAATGGTGGCTTATAGCAATATGATCTGTCTGTATCTATCGTTGGTTTGAAGTCGGCGGATGCCATATGAAACAGCATCTCTCCTTGTGCTTAGTGCTAACCAGAAACAGGCGATTGTCAGAACAAAAGTGTAACAGATGATCATCGTTGACGGTTCGTTGGCATGGGATTTTGTAAATACCCCTTAATAAAATGCCTTTCCAGTAGGCTCAGCTTCCCTCCTTGAGTATTGCAGTCACCTGCAGACAAGACTATGTTTAAACACTTTGCTCTATGTGGCAAAATTGAAAGCTTTTCATAGAATTCATCCTTTGCATCATGTGAACTGCACCCGGTAGGTGCGTAGGCGGAGATTACGAATAGCCACCAATTAGTCTCACGATCCTTTCTAATTTTTAAAAATCCACTCAGTTGAATAGCACATAGACAGTTGTTGACTGGTACCCAGTTGTGAAGCGCACTTTTTGCCTTACAGCTCAATGTTATGCCTAAACCAGCGAGTTCATGAGAGCTAACCACTGGGTCTCTGGATACTTGTTAGGTGAATTTTGAATATTCACCGCACTGGTCAGGAAAGTTCAATTTAATAACCACACTTGGGTCCTGTATACTTGTCTCAGACGCACCATACATTCATGGCTCGCGATTCCAGGGTTTTGGCAAAAAATGCCTGTCGTTCAACTTGCTATGGGTTCGGACGTTGAAGGATCCAATGTAAAATTGATAGCAGGATTTTATCAGGCTGGTGGGTTGTGTTTTGCTGGCTTGGATCTTAAACAGTGGTTGTGGCATGAGAACAAGCCGTTGTAATAAATGATTTAATATTGATATTCAGCAAGTAAAGGCCTAGTTGCCGTCTGCATCGTCACATAATGTTGGCCGAAGTAGGTTCAGGCTAGAAAAGGCTCGAGGCGACCAGACTAAACATGTCATCAATATATGAAGTCTTTGACTGTTGGTTTGAGCCATGTAGGCCGATGCAGACCTATCCGAGTGTGGTCCACGGGACGAAACGAACCAGTGGCTACAGACTCTAGGTGATATGGCTCAGAACCGATGTGAGTGGCGCAGATATATGCACACATCATCTTTTCGTACTTTTTGTTTCTTTTGACTGGATTTTCTTTTCTTCATCTTCCACTCTACTGCCTTTTTACTTGATGTACTGATATGAGGTGTGGCAACTCGGACCGTTACGCAGTAATGCCTAGTCCTATGTTGGTGTGAATGGATGGATGAAGTAAAGGCAATAAAAGAGACTAAATTTAGCTAAATAGGTTATGGCAATTTGAGTTCTGTATACTTTTCAAAGCGTATGTGCGGTTCGCACCTCCTGCCTCCCCACAGTGCGAGCTATTTATTCGAGGCATCTGATAAAGAAATCAGCTTCTTTTTGCATGACTGCAAGGCATTTACTTGAGGCCTGTCATATACGACTCTTCAGGATTGTTGGACTGAGATTTGATTGTAATGACATCAAATAAGAAAAATCCGAACCGCTGGACAAGGAGTGTGTCATTTTTGGAGATCAACCTTTTCTACTTCTTCCCCCATCGGATAGACATCATTAGGTAAGTATTGCTGGTTATTTATCGGGAACACTTTACCACTCACATGCCATCCATCCAGCATTACAACTTTGCTTTCAGACACCCTATCATAACGTAGCTATTTACTTTATGACAGTAACTCCTTTTTGTTTTAGCACTGTGCAACAAATCTTTCTGGCATAGTAACACCTTAAGAAACAATCGTTCTTGTCGTCGTAGCTCATTGGGTTTTTACGATATACAGACCCAATCACCACTTGGAGGTAGAAACTATGGCTCAGTCTTCCTATGTAGATGGTAGGTTTCTTCAGATTATAAGCTTCCGCATTGAAGAAATATTTCTACTGAAGACTGAATTCAAGAATATACGCTACAAGAACATGTAGTGACAATTGCTTCTGCCAGCCTTAGTGAACTGGAAAAATATTAAAAAGCTTCTACACACATGATCTTTTGTTGATGAAGTTATTCTGTTGTTGAAGTTTGTTAATAACATCTATCTTCTCATCATTAATTGAACTGGTTAAATTTTGCTGAGATTTCGCAGGTGCTTCACTAGTTGGTTCGTTTCCTCACTTCATTGTCAAAGGAAAATATGTACCTTGAAATAACTTTTAGTGTGTTCAGATGTATTTGGCTTATTGGTGATATATTTTATTCAACACCTTTCTTAGCGAAATAAATAGTATCGTTGTGAAATTTTTTGGCTAAGATTCTTTAGGTGATTTGTTACCGTCGAATTTCATGAAATGTAAAAGTGAAAAGAAGATATTCCGCTTTTATTAAATAGTTCGTTGTTCGTTTGACTGAATGTTGTCATCTGTTAGAAGATGGATTTCACATCTTAATTTTTCCAGCTGATTCACTCTACGTCATACCAAATGATGTGAATATTTTCAAGAGCTGTGAAGGATTAGTCATACTATAATCACCTTATATCAATTTTCAAAATATTTGTTGATTTCTTTTAGAACCTTCGCAATAACTCCATCAACCATTCTTATCCTCATAGTGGTGCTTCTGGTCTGTCACATCCTTCTGCAGCAATGGCTTTGGCCGCGGCAGCTGCTGTTGCGGCACATCAGAAACAGCAGTCTAGTGTGTCAAATTTCTCTCCTTGTGTTTTAGGGTCTAGTTTTCCGTCACCACTTGGCACAGTCACTGGCCCTGTATCACCGTCTGTAGATTCACGACACATTACTGCCAAATCTAATATTTCTACGCCTCCAGCCGCTCACAGGGACACACATTCCAGGTATGTTTATCTAGTATATTGTTTTTAAAATTGCATCACCATACCTTGAGTTACTTCTATTTGTCATTCATATCTTTTTAGTAATCTTTTTGCATTTTTTATAAGTCAGAATGACTTTCCTTCTTTTATTTCTAATTGGTATTTTTTTCACTTTCAGAATTTTGGGAACATCTACGCCAACTACTCAGTCGGAATCAGTTTATACGAACTTGAGTAGCTATCATTCTCCGATTACAGGCAGCTCTATGTATGCTGCCCATCAACACACTTCTCCGTATCCAAGATCCCAACAGCCCCCTGCCCCACTTCCACCAGGCATTGGTGCACGTAGTCCGTATGCTCAAGTTTCACACCTTTCTGTTACAAGCACAGACTCAAATCAAACAGGATTCAAACGGAATATTCCACCGCATCCTGGAGAAGCTCCAGGTGCATACGAACCATCGGTATGCCAAGTTTTCAAGAAATTTGAATGTTATTATCTAGCCTCTTAGTGAAAGCTAAAACAATTTACATGGGATTATTTTCCTTTGCAGTTATTGCATATTTTATCATTAGTGTATCCGTATACAACGTATTTATCCAAACGAACAGAAAGAGTAGCTTTGTGCCTGTTAAACTTAATCGATCCAAGTTGAAAAGTTTAGCATTAGTATGGATAGTGAGAATCAAGATACTTATTTGGATAATGTTAAAAGGAAACGGTAAAGGTAACAATTCAAGATCGCGTATCGAAATGCACGAAAGTAAAATGTATCAACTACTCAAAACATAGAAGTTATTAAACCTGAATAGTTACTACTAATTTTAAACCAAATTACTTAGTTTCCAGCTATCAAGCACTGATACCGATACTTGATCCAGAATAGACAGCCGATTGACATCTGCTTGTCACAATATTTCGTAAAAGTCCTTTACCTTTCATAGTACTTCACAGCGAATTTCAGTCTCAGTTGGTGGCTCTACCACATGTGTGTATTCTTCACTTAACATCCGTGTTTCTCAACCGTATTTTATTCTCAAGAGCGTATCCTACATTGAGCTTGGGTATTTTTTTTTCGTTGCTAGTAGCAATAGCTAACAGAAGTCAAACTACGGTTTCATATGTTTGACCTAGAACGTTTTTTGATCACCAACTCAAGTAGGTCAATGCGACTATATCGGGCAATCGATGTGTTCAGCTTACTCAATTACTTCACTGAATGTAATTAGGTCAACTATCTTTTCCAGATAATCTTCAAGTATCCTCTTGCAATTGGCATATGCAATTGTCATTTCTGTTTTTTCAAAAAAATTGTTAAGAAGACTGCATTATCACTTTTCCTTTTCGCATGAGAGAGCAATGTTTTCAGTGCTTAAGTTACCAATATCTCACTCAAGAGGTTGTCGTAATTTGTGTAAGAAGTAATTCTTTATACCATCACTGTCCAACTTATACGATTGTTGTCTGCATATTCAAGGCGCATGCTCCAGTAATTGTTGATAATTGGACAATACAAGTAAAGAGAAACTTCCTTATTATTGAAATAATAAGGGGATAGATGGCAAAATTTGGTTTTCCATTACTTCTGGAATAATATAACTGAACAAAATGTATAGCACAACTCTAATATCGATCTATAGTCCACACTTATCCGTTTTAATCAAATATCCATCCTGGTGATACGTAGTAACTGAAAAATTGTCACCTATGAAATCTTTCTTTTTTCTACACAGTTGTTTTGGATAATGAAAGCTTAACAATCACAGTCTACGGTCAAAAATAGAGTAACTTTGAGTGACAATTCGAGTGGGATAAGGTCAGTCTGGGTTAAACATTAACCAAAATAGCACTAGTTAAGCGCAGAAATCATTAAAACGTAGTGACTGCTCCTGTTAACCCGGTATTCTGTATTATAAATGAAGTAAAGTACTTATAAATTTCAGGCCTTTAGAAAGGTTGATTTAAACCGTAACAGAGTGAAGCATTGCTTCTGCATGAGAACTTATTTTTGAGGATTTGTCGGCAGACATGAATCTCCTTCTATAGCGGATCACTAGAGTATCTTTAGTCCTTCTTCTTACCACCTCCTGCGATATTTACCCACTTAATTGGATTACTCTTCCCAGGTGTTGTAAGCTCCAAGTTTCCTCAAGTTATAACAGCAGTTTCCTCAAGTTTGTGGATGTTTGCGTTTTGTAAGTTCTTACAGAAAGAGAAAAACAGATCAAGACTTTCGTTTAATTTATTGCCAAGTCCCCTAAATAAAATTGCTACTTTTTTTAAATCTAGTCCCTTTCATGGATAAGTAGGTATCACGCCAAACAATTATCAATGTGATATAACTCAGTCTTTTTCCTAAACTGAATGTCCAGAGTTTTACTGATGAATCTCACTTCTAAACAACCAAACTTATTGATATACTGGGCTTCCAAGTAAAAGGATCCTATGTCTAACCTGTAATCCTTCTAAAGCGATATGGTAGACTAACCAGACTATATGTGTGCACATTTGAACTCGTTTATTTTTCTTCCAGGAAGTACTTCTCCAGTTGTCTTCTATTACCGGCACGTCTCATTGATATATTCGAATCTAATACTCAGGTCAATGAATACAACCACCACTGGCATACTTTATTTTCGTTTTAGTCCTCTTTCTCTTTTTTAGTCCCGTGTAAATGATGAGTGATATGGGGAATGACAACTTACACAGTAGTGTCTGGTCCTATGTTGATATTGATTGCTTGAAGTGATCTTTTTGATAGATCACATTCTTTATTTGTTCTCAATAGTTACTGAACGTACTCTAGTCTTTAACTTAGGGTCTTCTTCATGCACGGTCAAATTTCAAACTCTAAGTGGTATGTTAACAGCTGGAACACATGTAAGACTTGCTCTTTTTTACATCTCTGTACATTTGATAAACTGCTGACTACTTTTGTCAAATAACTGGTCCTAACTTTTGATATATTTCTTCAATCATATTTTCAGCCACGATTTCACTTGGGTGGTCAAAGTCCAAGCAAGCGTGCTCGTTATTTGTCAACAACTTCTGGATCCAGTAATAACTCGTTGTCAACAGATGGTCCGCCACTCAGCGGAGGAAGTTGTCCGGACGGTAGTGAACGATATTCTGAGCAAGTAACACCTGGTCTCAATCACAGTACCTCTTTAGCTGTACCCTCACCTTCTAGCAGTGGCAGCGGTTCATCTAATGCTCCTCATATTCAAACAAATCCGACAGGATACTCCGGACCATGTGCAACTCCACGCCAATATGGTGTTACTACTCTTGATCAATCACCATCTTTACCCTCTCCATACTATCCTGGTCGTTATGAAGGACTAGAAATGCATAGTCCTGCACCACCACCACATGGCCATATGAGGTCTCATCATCCTTCAAGTAGTACCGGTTCGTCCAGCTCACCATGGAGTGTAAGTTATTGTCTTCTATTAATCGCTTTGTAGTGTTACATTATTCTCAATTCAATTTTTCTTAGTCCCTGCTGCTCATAATCCTATAGTTTTCATCAATTATTTTGCATGAACCATGTTTCGAATCGCATTTCCTAAAATGTGAGGCATTACTTGAGTTTATTTCTTTTAAGTTGCATATAGTTAGGAATCCGTTTAATGTTGAGTAGGGTAGGGAATGTTGCGGAAATTAGCAATGTCATCTAATCATATGAAAGTATTAGTGCAAAAATCTTCAGTAATAAGTTTCCTATCCAACTAAGTTAATTTAAGAACGTGACGACTTTTCCTAGTAAAACATTGACTATGTGCAACAAAAATGTTTTCGGAGAGTTGTTATTACTTTAACACATGGATGTCCGGTGGTTTTACTAACTTGAAAATGAATTACTTTTTTAAAGAGTTCTATCTGGTTCATCAACTTTTTCTCTAAGAATCAAACTGTAAATTTTTCTTCAGAGTTTATATCTGTCTGGTAGTCATGTCGATTAGTCGAATTCACGTTCCACTTTCAATGAATGCAGGTGTTATTGCATTTCCTTCTGTTATTTTTATATGAGTAAATTTCGGACTTCATTTGACTAATTGTCTACTGTATTATGTTTTTTCAGGTTCCTGGGTTGTTGCCATCTGCAAATAAAATGAATACGTTTGAACAACAACCTGATTATGTAGTGAATTCTAGATGTCAAAATTATAACTCCAATCTTTCTGTTTCAACCTCAGAACACCCTATTATTCCAACTGTATTTCGACCTCCAATTACTCCATTCACGTTAGAGTTAGAGAATGAAGACGATGTTGAAAGCTTGCCTCGTTTGGGTACTTCACCAGGTCCACAAATCCCTCCAAGTTCACCTACTGAGTTTTTACCATTTTATTCTGAAGCTGCTAACAAATCTGCTCAGGCTCAACTTCGACAGAAACAGTTTAGTGAACTCACCCCTAGAGTTCATAATACACCAGACAGCGAAGATCGTGGAACTAATTCGGATAATAGTTCTCCACGTATGATGGTTATGAAAAGGGATCAGTCAGATATTCGACATAATCCTCGGATAAGTTCGACTGAATTCGTTGCACCGCCGATGGCGAATGCTATTCCACAATCTGATGAACTTTTATCGCCAAGTTCATCAGATTCAAATGATCGTACGCTAACTATCCTGGATAATTTGGGAGAAGTGAACACACCACCAATGCCAGATGGTTTGGCTGATGCACCATCTCCAAGTGAAGCAATGAAAGAAAATTCACTTGTTCGAAAACGTAAGTTACTCGATAATTAAGTATCAGTATCATCTGTCCATGTACTCAGGATACGAAGCAAAACTGTTATGGCTTGTATCACATAGTTAAACCGGCGACTACAAATATAGCTTCAACACCGTCAGGCGATTATAACTTTCTATGTATCTTATTGTCCCAGTTTGTGACTATAAAAGCTACCTTTCCAACTAAAATAAAAATGAATGACTGGTTGTTTCAGTGGTTATCGAAGTGACTTCTAGAGTTACTCTCATACTACTTTCATCGATTGAGCTGAACATAAAAGCAAAATATTTGTAACCCTTTTCCTAGCTGTTGCTTTAGAGGTTGGAGCTATTGCATGTATACGTGTCCATAACACAATAAAATATAATAATCCTATTTAGGCCTTAATAAAATGACGCATGTTTTGCGGCTAGTTGATTACTATTTTCCATCGGTATGAAGTGAAACAATGATCCGTAGACTTTTAGAAAGCTAATAAACATGGCTAAGAAGCAATACCATAAAATCGGTTCTGAGTAAGTTGCCCTTTAAAATAAATCCAGTTATTGATTAAACCATATTTGACTAAATTTTCCATCTTCCTTTCTTCGATGCGTTGTAGCAAAAATCTACAATTATTGCATGTTTTTGGTCTACAGTTTTAAGAGTCAGTGGACAGGAAGTCCTAGGTTCTTGTATTTCCTCATGTATGCATTTTGACCAGTTTATGTACCATATTCTGAGGTAATGTTTCAGGTTTCGACTCAATAGGACTGATTCAACACTAATTCCAGTTGTGTGGAAAATCTTGCTACCAACTAAGTCAGAGATTGGAAAACAATAGGACTATATAAACTATACCAGAAAGTTGCATATATTTATCTTGGTATGATTATTAGCAGTAATTCCTGCTCGGAACATGATCATTATATGCAGTGAAAAAACTTCAGTGGAATTATACGCCACCTCAATGCCCGGACTCTACTCTTACAGTAGTATTGCAGATGATTTCCCCCCTCTTTCGGGTTCTCAGTCAAATAAAGTAATTTGTTGCCCAAGACCCATCTGTCTGAGAAGTATGTGCAAAACGAGTTAAACCCCACAATGTAATGTATGCCTTGATGTTAAGATGATCAACCTACATTAGCGTGTTTAAAGTAAATAAGGTTATCGAGTTCTCAGAATTGTATCCCCGTGTTTATTTATCCGTATTAATACAATAGGCGCTGCTGATCAGAATGGATATAAGTAGTATATGTTGAGAAGGCAGAAATCATAGGCGATTACCAGCAATGGTTAAATATTTTGCCTAGAGAAACCCAAGAGACAGTGTGGTCGCATTAAGAACAAATCAAGATAGAAGCAGAAGAGGAAATGATGAAGCACTGTGCAAATGACTGTTTTTAGTAGAAAGTACACTGTTTTATCACTACTGCACAGTATGTCAATGGTAAACATTCCTTTCCGCGTCTCAGTTTTGTTTCCTGCATTCTCATGCCAACATCAACTGATATAAGCATCAGTTAGAACTGATGTGAAAAATAAAGGTTAATGGGAAGTGTTATCAATAATCGCACTACAGTTAGTAGAGAAGTCAAGTATGTCAAATACCTAGTAATAAACAATGAATCAATTCCCATTCAAATTGATAAATATGGTCTACCAACGAGAAATTTCTCCCTTACTCAACATAAAGTAATAAATTCTTCAGAACTAGCAGTCGAATCTCGTGTTGACATTCTTGTAACCCTTTGTGTTTAGGACGAGAATGTTAATTATTAGGCTCTTGAATTACAACAGTCACATTTAATTTATCGTTCAAACCAACAAGATGTAGATTGGAATTATTGGCGATCGTGAATATCCCTTACACTAAAAATGACTATCATAACTTTTAGTATTCTAGTGGATATGCATCAAAATGATGATATAAATTTTGGATTAATATATTGACTATTAAAGATACGATTTTATCTCATGAAGCTTTAGCTTTAATTGTACTTCAACCTTATGGTGTTTTGTAGGCTCAGCTGAGAAAATGACTGACTAAAAGCTCGATGAATATTTTAAGTGAATAGCCACTACACAGAAATCACTATTTATGGTTGGTAGGGAAAAATAGCTAGTTTCCCTGCCTTCACTGGTTGTGACTCATTGGTTTAGTTATTCAACAGACGGTTGCTAAGTAACCATTTAAAATCCACTCTATACATACTTTGGTGTAGACGATGAAGTTTCATCCCAAGTTGTTGCACGACAACTGTGTGGTCTATAGTTTAACATATAAACTTGTACAGGATTGCTAAGTTGCATCATTAATTACTTTTCTCTTTCATTTTCTTGTCATGAATAATGTGTGTTATATTTTCTTTTCGTATGAAGGTGAAGAATTGCAGCATGAATTAAGTACCCCTGGTCCTTCTGATCGTAATAGATCACCTTGTCCAAACAACGTGAGTTTGGATATCACTCTTAACATTTATTATTCCAAACTACTAGTTTCATTTATTGGTTTCAACAAAACAGTTAGAAAAATGGGATTTCTTAAATTTTTGTAGTTTTTTTATGCAACACGCATCTAACAATCCGACCACTCACCTTTCCTGTCTCAAATATACATATGATAGATAATGGTTGCAAACGATGAAAAAATTACGAACAGTCAGTGAAACTATAAAGTAAAGACAATAGTGTATCGCTCATGGTTGGAAAGTTGGACTCATCAAGGAAGGTTTTGTGTTTGTTGGCACTCGTCGGCATGGCATATCTGCAACCCCAAAGGAATTGACTGTCCCCCCCCCTGAGATTCGGACCTGTGTCAACCAGCGTTGTAGTCAGTGACGCTAACACAGCTATTCAGGCCGCAACTGACCCCCTACGGGACTGGATTAGATACACTGACTACTCACTAGAGAGAAACCAGTTTCATGTTGTCTAGTTCTGAGGGATATGAGTTTCCTCGAAGTTGCAGGTTCATCTTGCTAATGAGTGCCAGCAAACACGAAACCTAGGTCCACGGCTTCTCGTTAATTACCTCCTACCTTTGCTGACCATATGCTAATGTGATGGATAGAATTCGGTCAGGACTAGACGACATAAAATTGGTTACTCTCTAGTGACCATTCAATGTATATCGTGTGAATAAATCTGCGGCATTGAGATAGATTCTAAGCCATGTCGCCTAGACTTTCCAATCGCTAGTTTGTGTTGTCATACAGACCCCAACCATGGTACCACTACATGACTCAGACCAGCATTTAAAGACTTCATACACTGATTCCATTTTGCAGTCTGATAGCCTCTGACCTCTTTCCAGTCTTAACCTATGTCAGCTAACATTGTGCGACGTAGCAGATGGTGACTAGACATGCATAACACATGTCCCAGCTACCCGAGTCAATTAAGGCTCGCAACCATTGCATAGACCAACATTCCTGTTCTCCCTAAAAATCTACGCCCGAATACTACCTTACGGATGTAGTGACACCATAACACAGCCTATGATAATCAGGCAACAGTGGTCAAACACCTGAAGCCCCTTCTCATGTTCTCTACCTCGAATGGCCATGCTTCGCAGGTATGAAGTAGAGCAGAGGGGACTGCAGTATGGTACACTCGACCCTTAATAGACGGTCGAATATCACGGCGATTCCATAGGTAGTGTAAGTTGGCTAAAGACAAAAAAGCCTTTCGTATCCGTGAATAGACTTCTTAGGCTACTGCCCCACCAGAGTTGATCTGAAGTGTTCAACACACTTAGTCACTTGATTCTCTATTGTTTACCGCCTCTATGTTGACGATTTGACCAAGTGTTCTGGTCAGCACCGGTTTAGGTTTCCTTTTTGGTCCTATGATTAACAGACAAAGAATCACCTAACGCTGGTCCTAGCTGTTATTACTCTCTGAATTAATACATGTGGGTTGATCCCATAGCCAATAACTTCACACCAGATGACTCAGACAGAAGACGACCGACCCAAAAAATGCACAACTGTTTGTATTTAATAAAATATAAGTATAAGACCTTAAGGCGTAGGTGGCCTAATCAGAATGCCAATGAATGAGAACTAAGATATGCACGCGAAGAACATTCGTAATTGATTGATTGTCGCTCTCATTCTTACTGGGTATGGACACAAAATATTCTCATCGTCAGGCTACGCCTACAATCATCTAGCTACTGTAGTTTTCCCGTCACCATTTGGGTACAAATATACATATTGTAGCTGTCGAAACACGTGTTCGAAAAGAAGCGACCCTCTCGATCGATGACATAGTAGTAGTAGTAGTAGTAGTATAACTTATTTGTGTTCACCACTGGGTTGGGGTAGGTAGATGCCACGTCAGACAACATTCCTCTGAATGTCTAAAGTTCGTGCTGGTCAGAAGTATATGGTCGTTCGAGAACAATTGTAGCAAACGATTGTTTTCATTCGGAAGCGCATCATTTATCGGAAGCATATAATGTGAGATTTATTGTAGAATTTATTCAAGTCTGGATGACATTGTCAGCAGTCACATATGCAAACAGTTTATATGGTTCACAGTTCTCTTGTATATTTAGGATTATATCGATTGTTTTTTATATCTTAACTAAATATCACTCACTGCATGCAACTATGGAAGAATAAAAAATGACTCTGCATAATTTAAAAAGTAATCTAACTTCTGTGATTTAATTGTTTCTTTTTCAGTTTTAATCCAATTGAATATATTTTCGCATTTCGTTCTTTTCTTTTGTTAAACTGAGTGTACCATTCATATCTCTTTTTTTCTTTTTCTCTTTCTTTTCTATCAGTCAGGCTCAGTTCAGTGTTCAAATTCAACAGATGTGAGTATCACGGCATTCTAACTTCCATTCTTGGTTCACCCACTCACTCGCATTAAACATTCGCATTTACTTGATTTCCCTTTTATAAATAACCGCATTATTTCGTAGATGAGCACAAACTTGGTCTATATTATACATAATTCATTGTAGTTCGTGTACATCTCGTGATAATAATTCATTGTTGAATATATATATATATATATATATATATATATATATATGACTACAACTTCAAGATTCATTTTGATTTGACTGATATTGTTCTCTACCTCCGACAGCTTTAGTATATATTATTTTTCTTTCTCCAACATTTAGACTTGTACTGAGACTTTTCATATTTTATCTTTCATCTTATTTTTTTAAGTCCACTTTTGATATGTAAATTTTTTTTATATAAAACAAGTGTCTCTCTGTGTGTGTTTGTGTTGGTTGCTTACACTTTTTTATAGACTATTTTTCCATTCGGTTTCTGAAAACCACCAAAGAGTCTTTTTTCTGGTTATCAGTTTTATTAATTATAATTTCATCAGATTCCTAAATTTACAGTTCACGTTTTATATCTTGACATTTTCATTACAATTCATTAGGTAGATAGATGAATGCTAGTAGTGGTTGGGTTTTTGCTGAAATGAACTTTTTCATTTTTATGTTCTTGCGTATACCAAAGTTTGTAGTTTCATATTTGAATAACGAAAAAGTCCAACGGATTCTGTAAATTCTTCTTCATGCTTTTCTGACTAAAAGCTAGTCATTCTGTTATTTCAGTGTTGAAGTCAAATATATACATATAATTTTTTTCAAAATTTAGTAATGCTGTTCCTTGTAGCCTTCACAGAGGAGTTTCACAGTGTAGGTTAAAGAACAACATGTGCATCAATTCTATATTGTCATTTAGAGAATGTAGTCGCGTTAAGTTTGTGTTCAACACAGGTTGAACTAAACATCTGGAATTGAACCACTCACCTGCTTGGTAATCGAGTTCAGATACTATTGTGACGTAACTCTACTTGCGTATCCGCACCTTTCTACAGCACAACATAACAATTATATCGAGGTTAATTTACAGTCCTACCCACGCATGAACAGAAACTTATCATTTCGTGTGACTAATCACCACCAGAAATATTGCAATGCGTCCCTCTTAAATCTGAAACTAATCATTTTACCTTCAGGTTGATGTAGTTTGGCTCGTGCATAGGTAGATACTTTTTGTATTGTTTTTTACTGGTTTCCTTCCTTCGACTGGTGAATCTTCTGAGAGAGCTGTGCTGTATTGGTCTGGTTCTCAATCAGTAGGCCACAAGTTCGAAACCCGCTGTACCTACACTAGTTTTGGCAATCAGGTAGTATTACAAACTCCACACACAGTGGGTGTAGGTCATTGCCTAGTGCACTAATGTGCATGAGATTGCTGATTTTCATGTCACATCCCACTTTTTTTTGGTAGAGAAACGGTTGAATAATTGGCAGTATAAGAAGCAGAAAAAATTCATCGAACGAATTTGTTTTCGACGATATTCTCAACGTTTGTTATCACTAAGAAATGTCAATCTATAATTCTCAGAAGTTGGTGGCCAGGAAAAGAATACACAAATTAGTTTGCGCAAGAAATATTTGACAGTCCAAATGAGTGAGACGAAATCAAGAGTTCGTAACAAAGTAGATGAACAGTTGTCAGTGTGAAAAAGAAGGAGGAATTAATCGCTGAACTAAGGGCTTTTACATAAAAATTGAAAGCTTAGTTCGGCCTAAGAATTGGAATGTTCAAAAATTGCTCAAGCACAGAATGGCAAGATTGGTTTTGCATAACCAGTTCCGACCCCATTTTTTCATTGCCAGTGCCTCAATAATCTCAAATGAACGTTTCTTCACACACTTTGGGAGACTACATCGTATTTTGTAGACTACTGCAACAGAATCTTCTGGGATTGTATCCTCCATTGTGGGTTATTAATTAGTCTGCATTGACCTTTGCTGAGTTATGCTGGGAAGTTTTGGTGTCGACGTTGGGTAACGTGTTTATGTGTACGACCTTTGTACCTAGCTCCATTGGACCAAGTAAACTGATAATATGCACATGAAAGTGACAGTTTATCCTTTAACGTGTCCACCATTGAGCGACTAGTAATAGGGGATTTTCAGAGTGCCTGCAGAAAATGCTCTTTTGACAGTATTCGTTACTCTCCGTCTTACTGCATCTCCAGTAATTTCAAAGTTAACTTCTTTTCTGCATTGTTAGGAGACTGGTGAATAACATTTTGGAGCAGGTTTTAAACTATGAATCTCTCTGGGTATCCATTTCTGATGAACCTCGATCTTCGAAGTTTAATTTCGTCCCCTGAAGTTTTAGGAATGCCAATCCTCGGAATTCAAAAGAAAAGGTAATAGATGAGATTAGTTTCTCGGCTGATGCTAACCTATCTATGAAAGTTTGTCACTTATCCAGCCCTCGTAGGTTTTCGATAAATGGATCTTTTAAATGTCCAATCATCTCTTTACGTTGAGGAATGGTGTCTCTGAGTTTGCTTCCATCTACATTGAAGGAGGAGGACATTCACTGCAGAACTAGTAATTCAATCCTTATCACCGCCAACGTATTTATTGTAGAATTAAAACTGCTTGATGACTTGGTTGAGTGTAATGGTTTTTAGTGGACCTAATGGAGACCCAACTGGTACTCAGTCCCTCCCTAATGAATTGTCTAACGCTCAAACTACTATTAACCATTCCTTTTCAAACGCTGAATACGTTTTCTCTTTAAGTGTACTCGAGAAATCCCCTTATCTGTCTTAGTACTGCAACAGTTAACGCGGAATGGTATTAACTGTTAGCAGCGAGTGCCTAACTGTCTTCTACGGTATTGGCAGCTACAACATCACCTACCGATTGTCTGAGTCTCTTAGTGCACCGAATGTTTCTTGTCCACATGAATTTCGACGTACTTCGCAGCTTATGCAGAATCGCTGTTATGATTTTAACGAAGTGACTGCAAAATAACACTTCTATAGAACTCTCTTAGTTTCTGTTGCGAATTTTGTACTGTGGTGATTTCTATTATCAAGATTAGGGTTTTATTCCGTCATTTCCAATTTGTGACCAGTCTCTATGTGGAACCATTAGAGAGAAGATAATTTCCCCACTTTTTCTGGCTAATTTTGCCAACTCGGCAATATAAAATGGGTCACGCTGCGTTGACTAGGTGTAACTACCGCGTAGTGGTGTTCGCAAAACTTTGTACAGAGTGTTGCACCTATAACTGCGCCTAGGAATCCTCATCCAATGCTAGGAGTACTCGATGTGGCTGTTGTGACTGATTGAAATTAAGGGGATGGGTATAATGATACTGAAACTCAATAGACACCTCAACCGAGTATTTTTACGACTGACCTCCCTCAGTACCTTCTGCTTCACTGAGCCGCGAAAAAATCAGAAGACAAAGATGGCCCGCGACTGCACGAACAACTTTATTAGACATTTACATGATGTATTTACAAAACTCAGAAAATGAAGCCATAAATGAACCAATCCGATTTGTTGTATGACGTCGAATTTCTCCAATCAGATTTTCATGTCAGTGTATGCAGAAATCATGATCTGAAAACAACTCTATTGGCTGCCTTTTGTCGCTACGTATCAGTAGCAGACTGGTCAACACCAGTGTCGCTATCGATAGGTATACGTCCTAGTCAAAAATCGTAGACCACAACTGCTCGGTTGAATTACCAAACTCTACGCCAACCGGTCCATCAGGATCTCTGAAATAGCCCTGCCATCGAACTATCCGCGTTGTGCATCGTCCTAACCCGACCTCTGATGAAGATCACCAAAAAATTATATTTGGTCCGTAAGCAGCAACATCAATCGTGAAGGCAAATTACATGCTATTTTGACAAAATATCGTAACCTTTACCACCGATCATTGGCGTTCACGTTACAGCTTCCAAGGTAATCAATAAACAAAGAAATAGATCGGTACGTTATGTAGAAGAAAGCAACTCGTCTACTGAAGCCAAACTTATGTGTACTAAAGACGTTTTTGGTTCACCTTGCATTGCCTTGGTGAGTTGCTCTTTTCTTATAGCCTTACTTACTACTTTATTATTTCAACTTATTGTCTTACACGTTATTCCTAAACATCATTCCTATTCCCATCATTTTCGATTTACTTTACTTCATTATAAATCTTAATCATAGTATAATTGTTTTTATATTATACCGTCGTTAACTGGACCGAATTAATCGGTCTCTGTTAGCATATGGGCTCCTGTGAGGATACTTCGATATTACCTGTGCTCCAATTATATTAATGATGAATAGCAGCAGTGGGATCCTGCGCATTTCGTCCTATTTGGGACTCGTCAGCTGGATGGTCCGGAGTTCGAATCCCAGTGGGAACAATATCACTCACTGGGAAGCAGGTACATCCAGCTGACGTGTTCCAACCAGGACGAAATGCCCATCCTGGATTTCACTGCTAGCCACTAGCCGTCATTACTATAATCCTAATCGTGGTTTTTACCATTCCTCTGCCGTGTATTCATACACTTTGCACATCATCTTTGTTGTCCTCCCTCTTTTATCACAATTCTTACCACCTTGTGCTGTAATCATAATTCTGTACTACTATTATGTCGTGTTGTTTTCTTTGTGTTTACTGATCGATTTTGCAGTCTGACTTGTTATGTTACTTGTTCCCTGTATTGGTTGACTAGGTAGTGAACTTTGTCATTCATCTCTATTCCCATAAATATATATTGATGTTCAGATGTATTTGATGTTGATTTTTCTATTCATATAATGTGTCAAATGACTTATGCTGGACACCGTACACAATTTTAAATTTAGCACTTTTGAGGAAGATTTAGAGCACACGTAATGAATTCGTCACATTCCACAATGTTTTTTCTTGCTTTGCGAAAATAGTCTAGCCCTGTTCTGCTTCGTTGGTTTCTGTATTGCCAACTAACCCACCCTATTTATCCCCATAGAACGTTTGTCGGTAGATCACCCGCCCTTGTTACTTACGTCGAAAACACCGCACTATATACTACTTAGGCGCATTATCGATAGCGTGAACCACAATATAGTGCTTTTTGTTAACCATAATCAAATACTGAAAGAATACA